TGTGGGAGGCAACCAATCGATGTGTCTCTCTCACATCCATATTTCTCTCTCCTTCCCTCCCACTCTGGCTAAAAATAAATGGAAAAACACCTTCAAGTGAAGATTAAAATCAAACAAACAAATAATAAATTAGTTTTATTTCTGTAGTTTCTAAAGTAACATTGCTCATTATCTTTATACCACACACTCATATTTCCATGTGGAAGAACTTCTATTAGACCAGAGGTTCTCAATCAGGAATACTAGCCCCTAGCAAGAATTTTGAAAATTTGTGGGGGCAAGATTTTTGTTATTTTACAGTGATGGTGGGGGGAGTTCCTAATATTTAATGGTCAAAGGTAAGATATGCTAAACACCCTCAAGACATACAACAAAAACTTGTTCTATGTTCAACATAACTTTAGAATGTCCTACCAGACATACATACATATTGGTGACAAGCTTGTTTATAATGATAGGAGCTTAGACTTTGTTTTATATACAAACACAAAGGTTTTAAGGGGTTTTGGGGGCAGTTTTAATGTCTACTGAGTCTTTTAAGCATGCAAATGAAGACAGTTTGAAAATTTGTTTGAAACTTTAGCAAGGGCCAATCACCATTTCAGAAAAACATGTTGACTAAGACGACATTTTCATGGCATTTGGGTGGCTACGTGACATATCTATATTGGTCTGTATATTTCACTATGGATTCTAGTTGTGCCTGAGCATTTACATATTGAAAAATGTACTATTTTTCAAATAAATTACTTTCCTTTTAATTCTTTATAGAAAATTTAAGAGTATATAAACAACCCTTGCTGGTGTGGCTCAGTTAGTTACAGCATTGTCCTGTGTACTGAAAGGTGGCAGGCTCATTCCTGGTCCTGCCATACACCCAGGTTGTAGGCTTGATCCCTGGTTGGGACACGTGTGACATTTCTCTCTGCTTCCCTTTCTCTCTCTAAAAATCAATAAAATTTAAGAAATAAAAATTATAAGTATATACATATATATGTAATTATGTGTCTGAATAATATTATCTATAAATTTCATTTCAGGATACTAAATAGTGTTACAAGTTTTTTTGTGTAAAAAAAGGAAATGGGCCCTGGCCAGTTTTGCTCAGCAGTTAGAGCATCGGCCTGCAGTCCAGAGAGACCCGGGTTCGGTTCCCGCTAAGGGCATGTACCTCGGTTGCAGTTTGTCCCCGGCACTGACTGGGTCGTGCGGGTGGCAGCCACTTGATGTGTCCCTTTCACGTTGATGTTTCTCTCTCTCTCTTTTCCTCCCACTCTATCTGAACAAAAAATGAGAAAAATGTCCTTGGGTGAGGATAAAAAAAAAAAAAAAAAGAAGGAAATGGTACCCTGGCTAGTTTGGTTCAGCGGTTAGAGTATAGACCCACGGACCAAAGAGTCCTGGGTTCGATTCCAGCCAAGAGCACGTACCTTGGTTGCAGTTCGTCCCCAGCCCCGGTTGGGGTTGTGCGGGGTTGTGTGATGTGTCTCTCTCACATCGATGTCTCTCTCTCTTTCTCTCTCTCTTCCTCCCTTTCTCTTTCCTGTTCTATCTGAAGATAAATGTAAAAAAAAAAAATTCTCAGCTGAGAATTGAAAAAAAAAAAAAGGCAATGGTGGGAATCCTGGAAAGATAATAGGTGCAATGAAAACCTAGTTTTTGAGCCCTGGCCATGTGGTTTGGCTGGTTGAATGTGGTCCCATGTACCAAAAGGTTGCTGGTTCGATTCCTGGCCAGGGTATATGCCCAGGTTGCAGGCTCAATCCCCAATAGGGGATGTGCAGGAGGTAGCCAATTGATGTTTCTTTCTCTCTCCCTCTCTCGTCCTCTTTCTCTAAAAAAAAAAAAAAATCAATAAAACATTTAAAATTAAAAAAAGAAAACCTAGTGTTTGGATTTTCTTTAATCTGCACATAAAAAGATAGAACAAATAGCAAAATCAAAGACCAATTAAAAACATTTACAATGATACTAGGTGACAAAGTATACTTTTAAACCCTCTAGTACAAGTGGGTAGGGACAACATTACCAGCTATCAGACCTGTATGGTATGTGTCTGTGGGAGAAGCAAAGAAAAGCAACAGGGTATCTGATAGGCCCAAGAACAGGAGAACCCCAATATGTCCCTCAGTTATTCCCTGGAAAATTCTGCAGGTCAATTTCAGAACAGCTGAAATTGGCCTGGATTTTATTCCTCCACAGTGGGTGATTTCAAGAGGCCTACAGAAGATGGTCTGAAGGTGACATAGCAATCAGGTTCCTATGAACTTTTATTTATTTATTTTTAAACAGAAAAACATTTTATTTATCTTTTTGTTAATCCTTACCTGAAGATATTTTTCCATTGATTTTTTTTTATTTTATATATAGAGAGAGGAAGGGAGGGAAGGAGAGGAAGAGAAAGAGAGAGAAACATCAATGTGAGAGAGATACATTAATTGGTTGCCTCCTCCATAACCCCAACCGGGGCCAGGGATCAAACCTGCAACACAGGTACTTGCCCTTCACTGGGAATCGAACCCACTGGTCTGCAGGCCCATGCTCTAACCACTGAGTCAAATTGGCCAGGGCCCTATGAACTTTTAAAACCAACCCACCTGTCCTGACAGGTTGCTCAGTGGTTAGAGCGTCAGCCCGTGAATCAAGGGGTTGCTGGTTTGACTCCTGGTCAGGGCACATGCCCAGGTTGTGGGCCTGATCCCCAGTGGGGGGAATGCAAGAGGTGGCCAATCAATGTTTCTATCTCTCTGCCTCTCCCTTCCTTGCTCTAATATCAATAAAAAAAAAAAAAGAAAGTAGGAGCACTTGCCCTGGCCAGTTTGGCTCAGTGGTTGGAGTCCGTGGACCAATGAATCGCGGGTTTGATTTCAGTCAAGGGCATGTATTTTGGTTGCAGTTTGGTCCCCTGCCCTGGTTGGGGTCATGCAGGAGGCAAACAGTCGATGTGTCTATCTCTCTCTCCCTCCCTATCTAAAAAATCAATAAAAACATTAAAATAAAAAGCAAATAATAAAAGTGTGATATGGGGTCCTGGCCGAGTAGCTCAGCTGGTTAAGAGCATCATCCCAATATGCCAAGTTTACATGTTCTATCTCCGGTCAGGGCACATACAAGAATCAACCAATGAATGCATAAATAAGTGAAACAACAAATCAATGCTTCTCCCCCACTTTCTAAAAATCAATAAAATAAAAATAAATCAATGAATAAAATTAATCAATAAAACAGTGTTAAGCCCTGGCTGGTTTGGCTCAGCAGCTGGAGTATCGGCCTGCGGTTCAGTTCAGTTCCCACTAAGGGCGTATACCTCGGTTGCAGTTTGTCCCCGGCCCTGGTGGGTCATGGGGGTGGCAGCCACTTGATGTGTCCCTTTCATGTCAATGTTTCTCTCTCTCTCTCTCCCTCCCACTCTATCTGAACAAAAAGTGGAAAAGTGTCCTCAGGTGAGGATTAAAAAAAAAAAAAACATTGTTAAGTGTGATACAGCCCTGGCCAGTGTGCTCAGTGGTTAGGGCAGTGGCCCATGCATCAAAGGGTCATGGGTTCAATTCCTAATCAAGGGCACCTACCTGGGTTGCAGGTTCGATCCCCTGGCCCTACTTGGGGCATGAATAAGAGGCAACCAATCAATGTGTCTCTCTCACATCAATCTCTCTCTCTCTCTCTCTCCCCCTTCCCTCTCTCCCTTCCACTCTCTCTAAATATCAATGGAAAAATATCCTCAGGTGAGAATTTAAATAAATAAATAAATAAAAAGTGTGATATGGGCACAAAGATAGAAATAGATTAATAAAAGAGACTAGAAAAACCAGCACAAAAATATATATGTTACCTGTGTGTGTATTTGCAATATTTGTACATATATATGAATATATATTTTCCCAGGTGGTAATAAAATTGGTCCCTATATCCATACCATATAGGAAGATAAATTCCAAGTAGATTTAAAAAATCTAAAAGTAAAAGGCGCCCTGGCCGGTTTGGCTCAGCGGTTAGAGCGTCGGCCTGCGGTCCTGAGAGACCCGGGTTCGGTTCCCGCTAAGGGCGGGTACCTCGGTTGCAGTTTGTCCCCGGCCCTGGTCGGTTGTGTAGGTGGCAGCCACTCGATGTGTTCCTTTCACATCGATGTTTCTCTCTCTCTCTCTCTGTTCCTCTCTCTCCCTCCCACTCTACCTGAACAAAAAAAATGGAAAAATGTCCTCGGGTGAGGATAAAAAAAAATAAATAAATAAATAAAAGTAAAAGGCAAAACTGTAGAACTTGTAGAAGATAATAAAGGAGAGTATCCTTTTAACCTTTGGTTAAAATAGATTTCTAAAAAATACAGAATAGTAAACATAAGTGAAAAGATAAATTTGGTTACAGTAAATCAATTCCCCTTCACCAAAAGACAACAAGGAGAATGAAAAGACTCAATTCCATAACTCTATCTCCCCTCTTTTGTTCTTGTTATATACTTCTTTAGAAAAATCCTTTTATTTTCATTTTAATGGGATTTCCAGAGGAAACGGAGGTAAATAAATCCGGACGATCTGCTACTCTAAGCAATAGTGCTAAAAACTTTTTGAATGAGAAAAAGATCCAGTAATGTTTGTGCTTGGTTACAGTTTATCTAACATATATAAAAAATAAGAGCATAGTAAAGGAACAAATATTTGCCTATGTACTTCCTTAAATTATCTCATGGACTATTCAATCACAGTGATCCCACACAAAGGGAAGCAGTTAGCCCCTACACTTCCAAACACACTTCCTTTTTGGGGGAATCTGATGTGATACATTCCTGTGTAGAAATTCTCTTGGGATTATGTTTACTTATCCTAGCTCCTCCCCCAAAAAAATTATGTTCTACTGGTACCTGACCCTTACTTATCAAATCAGGTTTTGGAAGTAGAACAAAAACTTAAGAAACAAGGAGAAGATTTGGGGCCAAGACAACTTAGGAAACCCTGGATGGTACTAGGAAGTGGAACAGGCTTGACAAAACCAAGACCAAGAAATTAGCATAAATAAAGGTTTTTATTGGTCAGTTTGGGTGAATGACATACTGACATACTCCCAATTCACTGTTCCAAAGCCCTGAGGTGGCAGGAGGAGAAGCTAAGACCACTGATGATGAGAAGAGTGGGAGGTGGGAAGAACCTGAAAGCTTCTGAGGATTAACAAGGCTACCGGGATCGGGACCAACGGCCTAGGAATAAATCCAGGATGGAAAACGCATCATCCAGAGCTGGAGGTGTTGGTGATTCTTGATCTAAGGAAGAAAGTGATACACATAGACACACTAAATGAAAGAGACTGGGCAAAGTTTAGGAATAATATTAAAAGGTAGAAGAGTAATAATTTCCCTTTCCCAAGGAATTAAAAGATGGATCACTTTGTTTTACACTCTTCACTTACCATTTCTGGGACTACCATCTGCTTCTTGATGGGTCACTGTGGTCTCTGTTCGGCCCTCACTGTCCACCACTGTCCGGTGCTCCTCTACTGTCTATAAGAAGCCCCCACCATATCCTAACGTCACTAAAGGTGAGTTCACTGGTTCTTTACGAAGATCCCTCTGTCCAGGGCTTCTGCTGGCCACACTTCCCTTTAACCCTCTCCCCAACTCACCCCATCTGGCCTAGTAATCTTGGTCACAGAGATGCTCTTGAAATAGGATTTGGGCTGGGGCTGCAGAACTGGGCCAAGGCCCTCCTGGGAAACCTGGGAATCAAGATCTAGAAGGGCAGAGAGAGAAAACGGGAAAGAATGAGTCTAAGGGAACGAAGGGGACAAGTGTGTCAGGAAGAAACTTTAGGGAAGAACAGAGAACTTTTGAAGAACAATAGAGGGCTGGTAAAAGTTCTCTCCAGACTCACCCTTGTCCTCTTTGGCTCTAGAATGGGGGGTCACAGGCCACAAATCATCAAACTGCAGAAGAAGCCAAAGTTGATGAAATGACATCTTTCAATCTGAAACTTGAGGAGTCACAGAACCCAAACTATTCCCAAATTCCAAAACTACCTTTCCCCAGGAGAGATAATCCAATTCAAGTTAGCTTTATTTAGTCATTCCTCCTCCTTCCTAGCTGTTTTATGCATCCTTCTACAGAAAAAGCCTTCCTGCCCTGGCTGATGTGGCTCAGTTGGAGCACGATCCCATGCACCAAAGGGTTGCAGGTTCAATCCCCAGTTGGGGTGCGTAGAGGAGTCAACCGATCGGTGTTTCTCTTTCACATTAATGTTTCTCTCTCTCTCTCTCCCTTCTCTCTTTAAAATCAATAAAAACATATCCTTGGGTGAGGATTTTTTTTTATCCTCAAGTGAGGACATTTTTCCATTTTTGTTCAGATTGAATGAGAGGGAGAGAGAGTAAGAAAGAGAGAATATCGACGTGAAAGGGACACATCGAGTGGCTGCCTCCCGGTTGGGCCGGGGACAAACTGCAACCAAGGTACATGCTCTTAGTGGGGACCGAATCCAGGTCTCTCTGGACCGCGGGCTGATGGTCTAACCACTGAGCAAAACCGGCCAGGACTTGGGTGAGGATTTTTTAAAAATAAAGTAAAAATAGAAGTGGTGATAATGCTAAATTTAAAAAAATAATAAGATAAGCCTTCATGAACTGATACTTTTCTGTTCTCCCCCAATAATCCTGACTTGTCCAAAAATCAATATAGACCAGTTTTGTTTTTTGTTTTGAGAAAAAGTAGAACTCCCATTTCCCCCCAAAGAAAATCCTACAAGAAGTTTAATAGAAAAAACAGATAAATACACTAAGTGGAGGGCCCAGGATTTCAACCCAAGTCTGTTGGATTCCAGTATTTGCACTCTTATTAGTTGTCTCCCACAGGTTCTCATTTGAGGCTCAGATGTACTCACCCTATGAAAAGGTCTCTGGGAGCCCCAGTCTGGTGTTGATTTTGGAGAGTCAGTTCTTGAATCACTCTCCAAGATCCCCCCAAAGATCCTGGGTTGGTGACTATCTGGATACTTAAGCATTGAGTCTCGAAGCGTCTGTCCCTCCTGCAGTCTCTCACCAGGTGTCTCTGACTCAGGACCTGGAAGTTCTGCAGAAAGGGCAGGTGTATGGATGCTGGGGGGGTGGAAAAGGACTTGGGATCGTTTAGTCCCCCTTCAAATCATGTCTTCTCACACTTCCCACCCCCCAACTACTTTCTGCAGGTAGGCTCCTGATTTTACCCACCACCCCAGTAGAAACCATAGGTTCTCCCTCAGGGGCAGCCACACACCAGGAGGACGGGAAGGCAAGGTCCAGGCCCCCATCTCGCTGAAGATGTTATTAAAATCCCGTACTAGGTCATCAAAGCCGAAGTTATCATGGAAGTGCATCCCTCCTCCAGGGCTGAAGCTGAAGCCGAAGCCAAATTCCTCAGGGGGCTGGGCACCTTCAAACCTGGAGCTCCCATGGCCCCAGGTGGCTCCTTCGTCTTCTTCCTCATCATCCTCATCTTCATCTCGAGTCATCCCTCCAAAAAAGGGATCTCTGTGGCTGGGGTGGAGGCAGATTGGCCACCAAAATTTCAGCACTCACTACTTTAACCATAAAATCAACTTATGGGTGGCAAAGTAGTACAAGAATAGGTGTCTGGGAAGCTGAGGTGAGGGTTTGGTTGGCCATTGGTTTTTCTTTTTAATGTGTTTTTATTGATTTGAGAGAGAGAGGAAGGGAGGAGGAGAGACAGAAACATCAGTGAGAGCAACACATCAATGGGCTATCTCCTGCATGCCTCCCACTGGGGATTGAGCCTAATAAATACCCAGGCATGTGCCCTGACCAGGAATTCAAGGGGTGACCTCTTGGTGCGCCAGACCACGCTCAACCAACTGAGCCACAGCGGCCAGGCCAGAGTTTTGTTTTTAATCAGTCGGTCCTCACCTCTGGGCTCCCCCCAAACAGCTAGCCGCTTTCCTTCAGTGTCCTCCAGCCCCTCCCCTCTCTCAAGATCCTGCTCACTTGCTCATTGTCCTCTACCTCAGGGCCCCACTGTCTTCCCTGTCCCAGCCCTGTTGCATCACCCCAGATTGGAGAAAGGCTTGGGTGGTTGTTTTTCCTGCTCTTAACGACCACCTTGGTTACTGTCGCGGGGTGATTGCTCAATGTTGTGACTTTTGTCCTCTCCACGGGAGTTGAAGGAGTGAGGATAGAGGATGTTTTTCCAAAAATAGAGTGTCATAAGTCAAGCTCCCCTCAGAGGCTACCCCCCCGTCCGACCCGAACCCATTCTCACCTCCGAGGTCCAGGAAAGCCGAAAAAACCCCGGAAAAGGTCAAAGAGGCTCATTCCCGTATTGGGATTCGAACCTCCGAACCCCACCTGAGGCCCCCTCACTCCTAGGGTTAGCCTGCGCTACGCTGCCGGAAATTGAGCGAAGCGTCAGCAAACGCTGCCATAAAGCAAACCTGCAACCCCGACACTCTGTCGTAAAACGACCAAAAGCAGGACGTGGACACAGACGGGGGCGGTGCTTAGGGTCCTCTCAAATTCGACACTTTTACAACCCGTTTTTTTTTCTTCTGGCAGTGGGCGTTTTGAATTTTCATTTTCCGATCACCACCTGCCTTCTAAGCCGGTTCTCATTCTTGCCGAACAGTCGGGTCCAATATAGTATTTCGAAGGTTTTATGATAAATGGTGCTGCATAAAGCCGCCAGACGGCAGCCCATCCGCACAAATGAACCGGTCCCAGGCCCGTCCTCACCGCTGGCTCTCCACACCGTGGACTATCAGTCTTCCATCGGAAGCCTTCTCACCCACACTTCCTCGGCTGTTTGTTTGACTGACTTCAGTTAAGTCTAAGTAAGTGGGATGGGCAAAATATTTTATCAAGTTCCTTCTAGTACTGAATTCCCGAGTTGAGTCGAGTTAGATATGGGGACGCATGTTAAGATCATCTTTCCAGCTACTAAGGAGTTGGTCATAACCATAAACGATTCTTCTAATTCTTCTATGCAGGCTTTACAACCAGCAGAATAGAGACCAAAGGAAATCTAGTGAAGAGCCTTGGAAGGGAAGAAATAATTTGGGGCTCCAAGTATTCCTTTTCCTATCATTCATTGGCTTTCAAAGCCTCTCTCCCTGCACCCCTACTCCAACCCCAACCCTGACCTTCTTCTAGACTCCTTTTCAAGGGGTTGGGTATAGCTATGGGAAATTAAAGCACTCAAGCAGCAAGAACTACTGTAGTCTACTCCTAGGAGAATTGGGCCCCAAACTTCAGTTTGCCAGCACACGGTGGATGTTGCCCTCCTTTCCAGTTCACTTGCCTGGAACCAGCTAAATTATACTTGGACTTCTCAAAGCAGTATCTTTCAGCTCCTCCTTAATCCTCTCCTTTTCCACCCCATACCCACTCACTACCCTTTACTGCCTGAAACCTGCTGTAGATGTAGCAGTTTTTGAAGGAAATGAAGATTCGTGGTAGTTCTTTCTAGGCAACAGGCTGTGAAATTCTTAGGGGAGAAGGGAAGGGAATCTCTTCAAGGGCACAATACTAAATCATTAAGGTCAGAGGTGTTCTCAAAGGGCGAAGATTTCATTTTATTCCACTGCCTTCGGGGCCTGCTAGAGGAGGCCCAGCTGGTCATCCATGAGACTGAGGATGTCCTAGACGGAGCAAGAATGGGCAGAGGCTGAAGGTAGAGGTTTTCTTTTTATATATACAAGACACATTAATCCATTAAATTTGAAGACACAGTACAAAAAAAAAAAAAAAACACTTCAACTAATCCATCTGACAATGCTGTTCATATTCATGACGCCATTTTTTGTTGTTGTTTTGCTTCCTAATAATAAAGAAGGAGACATAGGGCTGTTGGGCTGATATATATTTGGGGGTCCTCCCTCCCCACCTCTCCCATACACCACCAGGGCGAACAGGAGAAGGAAGGGCAGGGCCCACAGCAAAGTTTCATAATCTTGAATGCAAGGGGGAAAGAGGTAAGGAAAGGAAGGAAAAAAAAAAGGAGAAAATACAAATCCTATAATACATACAACAAAGTGGGGATGGTATGGGAATGGACAGACATGAAGCTGAGGCATGGGGTGGGCCACTGGGGGTGGGGGAAGGCAGCAGAAACCCCCACACACATTCCTCTCTCTTTGATGCTGTTTCCATAGTTGCCAGGCTGAGAAGCCCTCTCAGAAGATGGGACCAGGAAGAGAGGGTCAGGGCCTCAGTTGGCCCCCCAGCTGTAGCTGTTGTAGGCAGACTTGTTGGTCTGGGGCTTCTGCGGGATGGAGCTGGTCTGGCTACGTTGCCCGCTGCCCGTCTGCAGGGGAATGGGAGGATGATGGGGAGGAAAAAGGTGTCTAGTTAGTGTAACAAATTTGTGACATCTTCAGGTGGAGATTTGGAAATCATCTTGCTCTCCCATTCCCCTTGCTTAGAAACTACTCTGAAGCTTCTCAACTACAGAAAATTTGGTTTATATAGCTGCTAGAGCACCTCTGACAAAAAAGCCTTTAAATAGGAGAAAGATGAAAAGAGGGCAAGATACCATTAGAAATGAGATAGTGAATCAGTTCTATGCATTTTCAATTCACCTTTTCCTCCCCCCATACTCCCTGCTCTGAGAAAAGGCACCTCTCTAGAGAGAATCATGGCCTCTTGGAGATGAGTGATCACAGGTAATTCATTTTCATTGATCCCCAGGAAGGTCTCAATTTGGAAAGCTGTCTTTAAGAGCAAAGCCCTTATTCCAGCTCCCCAGCCACCTATGGTGGAGAGGTCCCTTGTACCACCCCATGGCTCCCCACCCCTACCACGTATATACATCTGTGAGCCCATTTCAGGCAAGGTAGGGGAGGGAATCTGAGACCCCAGGCTCCAGATGCTGTCCCAAGAATCCTTTCCATTCCAGTAACCAAGTGTTTCCAGAGTCAGGGAAGGGCAGAAAGAAAGAGGGTATTGAGGAGGGGAGGACAAGAAAGGAATGGGAGGCCAGAGAGCTCAGCAAGGTGTTTGTGTTTGTGTATCCCGATTTGTGATCGTGCAATCTTTTCTCAAGTTCCCTAAGGCTGTGGAGGTGAAATGGGGACTGAAAAGGAGTGGGTTCAAGCATATCATTCAGTTTCATTACCTGCTCCTCCTGCTGGCGCTGGCAACAGAGAATCATCTGCAAATATGGTAGCTGAAGCAGAACCAGGATATATGGAAAATAAAGGGACAAACTTTGACAATAGAACTCCACCATTATTAGAAGGGAAAGCTATAATGTGAGGGAAAGGGGAGGGCTGGGAGAGGTAAGAGGGGAGGTGCGACCCAGGTCTGATGGGATGAGGACAACTGTGCTATGGTAGGAGGTGGAGGAGAAAGGCACCAAAGGAATTGGGCAAAATTAGGTTTCAATCTGGCCCCTTCTCTGACATGTCCTTTGCCGGCCACTCGTGTTATGTACGCTTGTGTCTGTAATGTGCTGTGTTGCCCATGGCTGGCGCTGGGGAGGATTGGGTGGAGGTGGTGGTGAGGAAGGGTAAGAAAAGGAAAAGGGGAGGCAGTTTTAAGGGATAGGAAGGAAGAGGAAGAGAAAGGAGAGAGGGAGGGCTATTACCTGGCCATCCTGCTGCAGGTGATGGTGGAGGATCTGGGAGTGTGGCTGTTGATGGGGGGTCAGAATGTGCATAAAGGGGGCAGGTGGGTAGGCAGCAGCTGTGGCCGGATTGATGGGCCCCCCACTTCCTAGGGCTGAAGGCAAGTTGAAGGAGGCAGCAGGAGTACCGGAATGAAAACCTTGTTTCTCAAAGGACTGCTATCCAGGAGGATGGGAGGAGAGAGAGTAAAAGGGGATCAGCAAATGAATCCTTGGGATTTGAGCCCAAGCTCTCCCACCCTCAAAAGTAGCATGGTATCACAGAGGGAACACTGCACCTGAAGTCAGATATTCAGGTCTCAGTCTCAGCTCTGTGTGATCCTAAGAAAAGTACTCTCTACTCAGTTTTCTCATATATATAACAGGGATGTTACTGACCTCTCAGTTGTAAGGACCAAATGAGAGGATGGATGTGAAAGCACTTTGTAAAATCTGTCATATGCAAACATAGTGAAATCTGCTGACTACTCATAGCACCCCACCTCTGAAGTTGAGTAGAAATAGGAACTCCTTGGATTTTTTCAAAAGAAATGAATACACACTTAAGTATCTTAAGTGTTAAGGGTCTTGGCCATGAAGCACTCCACTATATAACTCCTGAAATTGTATATTAAACTTTAATTTTTTATGATGGTAGGAGGAAAAAATAACAATACAAATCTGTGGATAATTCAAATGCTTCACTTCACTAAGTTGGGCTTTGCTCAGTCCTTTCCCACTGTTATAAATATACTTACAAAGAATGGAATGAACTAGTTTTCTTTCATTCCAAACTCATCCTCTTGTAAAGTTATGAAAAGGTTGGGAATGAGTAAGTAAAAGACCAAGAGAGTTACACAATAAATCATGAACATTACAATTTTCCAACCTTCCTATGACATTTTTCATTTGTTGCCCCATAACTCAGGGCTAAATTTAAGCTTCCTCAAGAAACTGAAGTCTAAGGACGAGTCATTTTCGAGTAGAATGGGTTTACTGACACCTCTCTTAAGGTTGTTCCTGCTCACTTCTATCATTGCAACTTCACCTTCTCTATGTCCATCTCTCTTTTTCCACTTCTATCCAGAGCCAGGTACCTACCTGGGTTTTGGAGTACACAGAACCCGAGATATCTGGCACGCCCGTGTTACTGGAAGTGACTGATACACCTGGGGGAGGAGGAAACAGATAGGAGGATTAGCTCAGCTAGCTGCCTGACCCCTCTACCTGGGAGGTGACATGTGCAGTCTTTTTACCTATAGCACTGCAAGGGAATTTTGGTCTGTTTTTCCAGCTTCAGGTCAGTCCTGAGGGATAAGAGCTCACAACACAAAGGCTACCTAAAGGTTCTCTTGTCCTTTCCAGGTGTGTACTGAGTATATGTGTGCGAGTGAGGTGAGTTGGGGGGGGGGGGGGGGAGGATATAGCCAAAACTCACTAGCATATAGTTTTCAAAACACCTCTGTGGCAAAGCCCAACAGGAATGTATTAAACTTTTAATGTCCATTTCAAATCAATCCACCCTAACTTCACTCAGTCCTGCCCCAGAAGACAGGTAATCTGGCTCTATCTGTTCACGAAGAGACACTCCTGGGCTCAAAATCCGTGCTTTCACAGCATAAAGTAAGTACTAGAGGAGCAGTCCAATTCTACCCTCAAGAACACTTTTATTCTCAGTTTCAGCTCACTTAGTCTAGCGTCTCCAGTCTTGGAGCTTCTAGGCTATATACTTATGATCTGGTATAAAGATGAATTCCCATTTACGCATTTTAAGGGAGTGGGGTAAGGAAGGTATATAGGAATAAGCTATCCTACAGTCTAGGTGGAACACAAAATCTAAATGTTGTTCTAGTTTACAACTTTAGCTTTTCCATGAGATAAAGGCTTTAATCCATACTCTAACAACTTGCATGTTTTCTTTTGAAAAACTTCCTATCACTACTACAACTTTAAAGAAACCAAAGTAATACAATTCCTCATTTTAATTTGTACTCCTTAATCTGCAATACACATACTACACCTCATGGGGTAAAAGGTCAAGAAGATAGGAAAAAGCTGTCAGGTAAACTAATCCATCATTTTTCTAGAGAAACTTTATGTAGAGATTTGAGGTAAAGTAACTAAAATTTAACTAGGAATTTAAAGCATGCTTTTAAAAGATTCATTAGTTCTCATGAAATGAGATAAAATGAAACTTAAGAAAAACTTTGTATTTTAGTCTATGTCTTTGGAGCCTTCTACTCTGCTGTTAGGAGCACTTTGACAGAAGTTTTTTAGACGCACTAAAGTAACCAAATCGCAAATGAGGAATCCTCTATTCACCCAGAATTCGGCAGCAATTCCCCTTCTAACTCCAGAACCCAAATCCTCCCAATTCCTAGGACAAAGGCAGCTGTCAAAAGTTAAGCCCACCTTAGACAGCCACTTTAGAATCTTCCCAATAGTAGTGGCATCTTAACCTGGAAACCCCTCCCACATCACAAGTCCAGATAGTTCCAGGAAGGAGCAAACACCAACTAGGAAAAAGAACAGAACTACAGAAAGCAAGCATGAGAAAATACTTCCCCATGTCCAAAGTATCAACTCTATACTTTCAATGCACTGAAGTAAAAGACAGGGACAATATACGGGCTGATAAAAGTATTTTTTCCCCTTCTTTTCAAACCCCAGGTGCCCATCTGGCAAATCACTGATAACAGGCCTAATTTGAAAAACAAGCTCATTTGTGGAAAAGGCTAAGCTGATGAGGTTTATATGGAAGGTTTGAGAATAGGGTAAATAGAACATTTTTTAGGGAAACTAGATCATGACTGATCTTTATGATACCCTTAGTCATCCCACACAAATAGGAGAAATGGCTAACTTGACTCTCAAGCTGGGTGGTAAGGAGCAATTTAGTTTCAACGTGCCCTACCTGGTCTAATTCTTTCAGAGGCTGGACTAGCTAAAAACCAGCTTATATCCAGAGGCCTTAACTTGGATATTGGCTAAAGGGACTGGAAATGCAGGGGAAAAAGAGAATTCTCTATGTAGTAGCCATAATAGCCTTAGTGTAAGCATTAGTCACTAAAAAATAATGGGTATTGGTTTCCCTACCTACCCATTACCAGTTATTAGAAAGCTCCTCAGACTAGTTTTCTTGCTTTCCTTCCAAGAGTCAAAATCCCCCCCCTCCCAAACAGTGATGATCATACTAACACCATGTGGACAGTAGGGAGGAGAAAGTTGGTCACACCCTCAGGACAAAATTACTCCAGAGGGCTAGGGAAAAAACAAAGTAGAATACCTGGGTTCCCAATTAACCAAAAATGGTGTTCTTGCTGTGCAAGTTAATTCTGTAAACAAAGGGCTGGTGGTGTAATAGTTGGATTGAGTGGGGATGAAAATTTCCAGTCAAGGAGATGTCTGACCAAACCTCTCCCACACATCCTTAGCTACACCAAGTGCAAAACGACTAATAATCCACAATCCCTGAAGGGACTAAGAACAATGTTCCAGGCTAGCAGTTTCCACGGTCGGAGTCATCAACTAGCTGGTCCTCAAGACTTTATCAGATCTCAACCAGCCACTTGGCCTTAGGGAACCAAATGTGGAATTAAGCCTTGAAGATACTTCCCCAACAACAGCTCTTAACACCATCTCTTCTACTTTTTCACCATGACATAACACTAAACTTTCTTTCCTTTCCCCCTTGCTTATGTCAGAGGCAAGGGGAAGATCTAAATGGAAAATGAAGAGCTACAATAAACACGGAGAATCAGGGATTTTCTACAAATAGCTTTCTTTACCAACCAATCAACAGGTTGGAAACTGAGACTATTTCCCCTCCCCACTTTCATAAAATCACCATACTGAAAAGTTACCAGTTCTTCAGCTATGCTGGAGTTTGATTGAAAAGGCCACCCTCCACCCGTCATCCACTGCACAACAATGGATCCTAGTGTCCAGAAAGACACGCATGGAAAGAACGCCAGAGTTAGCTAAAGAAATACCACAGTTTATTGAAGACTACAAATATTTTTGTTACAAGTTGGAACTACATGCCTTCCAGAAAACAAAAGCAACAGCAGGTGTGTGCATTGATGCTTCGGAGGTGCTGCACCGCTTGAACTCGAAATGGGTAAGACAGGGTCAGACACATGGGGGAGAGGGAAATGGGGGTAGGGCAAGTTCAAAAGCCCAGAAGGTATCCACCAACTCATTTCCCCAAGCCACGCAGGCCATGGCCTCAGCTCAGCAGGCTCTCCTCAGTGGTCTGGTTTCTGAAACAAGACTTCAGTGCAAATTTATACACACACACAAAACATAGCCCCCAGCCTTGGGCCAAATTAGCTCTCTGCCGTCCAGAAATGCTTGTAAGGGGGTGGATATTTTCTTCCTAAAAGGAATCAAATACATAAAAATAAATGAATTTAGAGGTTGATGAGGAATGGGATGACAAGAACCTTCTGTGGGATTGGGAACTGGGGCTTTTCAAAAGGGTAGTTACAGAAAATTCTGAAATCTTAAGGGAAGTAAAAAGCTAAGATTTCCAGAATCAGTTATGCTAGTCTCTTACCAGTCACCTACCTCTTAAAATTCTTGAACCTGGTCCAGCTAAGACTTAAATCTAATATTCCAGGAAAAGGGGCCACTCCAAATCAAAAGCTTATAATCATTCCCACCAAGGGTGGATCTTGTGGAGACTAGGTATTAAATCTTAATGGGTATCTCAGATTTCTTTAGTTTAAACCTTGACTTAAGTCATACAACACAGTTCAAAGCTCCACTTGGATGTTAGTTCCCAGACCAACTGCCCTCTGTGCTCAGTTCAGAGTTTCCCAATTATTAAAAACCTTGGGCAATTTATCCACTTGGGGCCCACATGAGGTTTAAGAACACAGATGCAGCTCCACCCAAATCATGAAACTATAACTGAGCAAAGATTTTTTTAAGTACAACCCTCAATCCCTTTCTCCTAACCGCCCCTCATATTCATCTACAAATCACTGAATAAAGTAGATGGAACTGTTTTATTCAAAGAATCCTTTTCTTTACTCTCTGTCCTCCAAAAGTGGAGTGTAGGTGTCAGGTATAGGAGCAAGGGGATGGGCTAAAAATCTTTCAGGTCAGTACCCATTCAGAAGATTCCAACATTTCCCTCCCTGCCATCAGATGTGCAAATGAATTTGGCAAAGAGACCAGCCATACAAATGAAGGAACCTAAAGGTCCAACTCTCCCAGTCCAACTCTCACCTTTACTAAGTATAGGCATACCTCATTTTATTGCACCTCACAGGTATTGTGTTTTTCTAGAAAGTGAAGGCAAGACCCTCCACCATCAAAGACCACATCTCATTTTATTACGGTGGTCTGGAAGCAAACTCACAATATCTGAGGCATGCCTATAATCATGCCCTAATCCTTTCCATATCTTCAGTCTCTTAGCTGGGGAATAAAAAGGGGGGCACATGAGAAAAGTAGTACTACAAACAAATTTAAGCTATACTATAGCATGCTAGCAAAGACCCCATTTAACCCTCCTATTCAGTAAATATATCCCCTTTTGTACTACCAATACTATACGTATTAACACTTGCCTCCACTGACATCTCAGTAAAATCTTTGGGCCCCTTGCCCTGCTTCCTACCCAAATATTAGGCTAGTCAGCATGCTAATAGCCAATATGTGCCCTGGGCATCCTATTATGAATAGTGAATATATGGTCTAGTATCAAGCTCCTCTGTTGGTGCTGCTCAGGCAGACACAGAAGCAGTCAAATATTAATAATCATATATAGAGCAGCAGCACACCCTCACCGACACTATTTTCTCAAGCAGTGAGTCCTCCTCCCAGAAACTAATTTAGTAACATCCCATAGACACCACTGACAGCTGGGGTCAAGGTAAGCTTACCAGTGTTGTATCCATGAGACCCATATCCACTTGGCTGTTGGAAAGGGGTGGCCGATGCATTCACACTGACATTCACACCATGCTGCTTGGAAGAGGTAGGAGCCACCTAAAGAGCAGAAAGGCCAGAACTGCAGTGAAATGGCAGCAGAATACCATTCATTCCACCTGTCTTCCTCCAGGGACTGATCATTCAGATAACTACCCATAGTGATGTAGGCTGACCAGTTTGCTTAGTGAAATGGGCTCCCTTGAGCTTACTAAAATCAAACAATGAAGTCAAGAAATGGTAGTTTGAAAGAAGGGAAAGGGGCAGTGGTAACAGGGAATGACAGTCTGTGGAAGCAAAGCTGTATACTATTACATTCCTCCTTTAGCTAATTAGAACAGGCAATCCCTATCCCAATACCCCCCAATTCCAGTCACACTTCCTCTCATAGGCCAGAAACAGAAACTGTTCCTCTTCACCCATTACTAAGAAGTCCTTGAAAGCAGCTAGGATAGTGTCCAGGACTAGGATGTTTTAACACAAGGAAAGACCAAAACCAGGTACTCACAGGGAACACAGCAGGCCCATACTGGAAGGTGCTGGGGAGGCCCGGAACCCCTGTGTAGTATGGCAGGCTGGTGTAACTGTAGCCAGGAGGCAGCGCCGGGTTCAGGAATGTCTGCTGCGTGGTGTGGTGAGTCTGCGTCTGGTTCTGTTGGGGTTGGGCCAAGGTAGTGGCCGGGGCTGGGGAGGAGGCATCCCCACGGCCGAATTTTGTGAGGTCACCTGTGACAGGAGAGGCTAAATGTACCTGCCTCTTTCACTCCCACACCAATGCAAAATCATGATTCCAGAAAATCCTGTTAAAGGACTGTTAAAGTTCAGTTCTTTGAATTACTTTTCTTTGCAGCTCCATTTAGCATTGCTCAGCACACAGCAAGCACAGCGCTAGTCAAGGACTAATTTGAATGACTGGGCAATGCTGTGGCAGACAGGCTACCAGAATAAAGTCCCTGCCTACAAGACTTCTTTCATCTCCCCCTCCATAGGGAACACTCCATGCTGGATTCAAAAAACAATGATTAGGTCAGGAAAATGATAGATCAGTGAGGACGGTAAATCAGGCAAAAAAAGGAAGGCCCATGGCCAAGAAAGGCAATGAGACTGTTACTGTGAGTGGGGAGAGTAGAGGGGCAGAGGTAAGTAGAGGAAGACCAGTTAACCCACTGCATTTCCTGGAAAAAGCTGGAGAATGGATGAAGAAAACCAAGTCAAAGTGTCACATGGGCCCTAGCTGGTTTGGCTCAGCGGTTGGACCATCGGCCTGCAGACCAGAGTCCAAGGATCGATTCCCGCTAGGGGCATGCACCTCGGCCCCAGCCCTGGTGGGCAATGCAGGTGGCAACCAATTGATCTCTCTCTCTCTCTTCCTCCCTCTCTCCTTCCCACTCTATCTAAAGATAAATGCAAGAATGTCCTTGGGTGATAAAAAAAAAAGTCAGCTGGAACCACAGGGAGAACAAAAAGTGAGATAAGGAAACAGCTGCCACATGAACATCTTTAGCAGGATTGTGAATCTATCAATACTGATTCATCACATCCATTCTATATTTCTGCCAAAGATCTTAACCAAACTCGGTCCCTTCCTCCTACTAATCAGATTTCTGCCACCAATCTCAACAAAATCTCCCTTTATTTAGCCCTATCCCAGTCCTACCAGAATAAGGGTTGCTGGCCAGGCTACCATCCCTCCCAGTCAGCGGCGTGGTGGGTGTGGGAAATGGGATGCTGTAGTAATCCTAGAAGAGAAAATTAAAAGAGCAGAGACTCAGTGTCACTCATTCTCTAGCATGAGTAACTCCACAGGCTGAGAGGCAGGAAAATGTTGAAGTAATGCAACTTATTCAGCCACCAAGTAAGCTGGCTAGAGCTGACACAAACTCCAAATTACTCTTGCATACACTGTCCCCCCTGCCTGACCACGAGCAGAGTCAGGCAAGGTCTACGGGTATGCCCACTGTAAAACATACCAAGTCTATTAGGGCCAGTAATATTGTCAAACCTCTAGAAAATTATCCCTAATAGTGTACTACTGTGAAAATACATCCTTCTAGAATTTGAAGTGTCTGAAACATACAGAAGGCATCCTGAGAGTTCCAGGGTACTCTGAGCTATACACATCATTAAAATTTATTTACTTCAAAAATGCCATAACTCTGATTTAAAAAAAAAAAAGTTACCTTCTGTTAGAACCATTCCCTGAGACCCCATATTCTCATATCATAAATCAAAGTGTGTGTATGAAGGTATAGTTTGGCAAAGAACTGTCTATGACTTATCAACTGAACATTTGAAAACAATACCCCCAATACTAATTTTAAGATTGTTTTCTTTTCCTAAGCTCTACACCACATACTCACCAATGGAAATCTTGTCTGAAGCATCTGCAAGTCATCATAACCATATACTTGTGGCTGAAAGATACAAGCATGTAACAATACTAATGTAAACTGCTCATGATGCTAGCTAATTAATCAAGGAGCTAAGAGACAAGCTAAAACAACAGAACTTTAATCCTCACTTTTAGGAAGAACAGGAGATAGTTATTTCCTTCAGTTTTCTTTAAGAGGAAGGAAGTGAAGTACAAAGAGATTAAGTGATTCATGAAAGATCTTGAGTCATGTACTAGTGATTCAACGAGACTGGCTCTGGGCAGCAGTAAGGTAAACACAAGTCATACTCAAATAGTGTGCTCTTACTTTCTGTTCCACCAATCTCTCTTTTACAGCCTTTAAAATAAGGCTTAGCCCTGGGCCGCTTAGGCCCAGTTGGTTGGGCGTCATCCTGTGCACCAAAAGGCCACCGGTTCGATTCCTGGTCTGGTACATGCCTGGGTTGTGGGCTCAATCCCCAGTAGGGGGGCAAGCAGGAGGCAGCCAACTGATATTTTGTTCTCACAGTGATGTTTCTCTCTCTCTCTCTAAAAATCAATAATTAAAAAAAAATCTAAAAAAACAAAACCCATGGCTTAAAATTAATCATCTTCAGAAAGGATTTGTATTTTACTCATTTGCTCTAATGCCTGGGTACTAAGGTAGTGTGCTGTTATTAAGAAACCTATAAATTATTTCTGAATGTTTCATCTGTATGATATTTAGACCAGTGGTTCTCAACCTTCCTAATGCCGCGACCCTTTAATACAGTTTCTCATATTGTATGTGGGTGTATCTGCATGTGGGCAGACCAGCCTGGAGACGGATAGAGGAACCGTGTCTTGGTTCCTAAGACCATCAGAAAAATATGTTTTCCGATGGTCTTAGGCGACCCCTGTGAAAGGGTTGTTCAACCCCCAAAGGGGTTGTGACCCACAGATTGAGAACCGCTGATTTTGACTCTCCTGAGACAAGAACAGTTGTCTTTATAAAAATCAATAAATACTCTTCATCTTAACAGGCATTGAATACATGAAGCTGACAGAAGATATACCAGGGTGAAAAGCTATTACTGTCACCCTGGCCAGTGTTTTCAGTGGTTAGATCATCAGCGCATGCACTAAAGGGTCTCATGTTTGATTTCCAGTCAAGGGCTTGGGCAAGAGGCAACCAATTGATGTGTCTATCTCACATTGACATTTCTCTCTCCCTCTTCCATTCTCTAAAAAGCAATGGAGTCCAGCCAGTGTGGCTCAGTAGTTGAACATCTACCCATGCACCAAGAAGTCACCAGTTCAATTCCTGGTCAGGGCACATACTCATGTTGTGGGCCAGATCCCGTGGGGGGGGGGGGGGGGGGCACACAGGAGGCAGCCAATCGATGTTCTCTCTCTCTCTTTTTATCCTCACCCGAGGACATTTTCCCATTTTTTTGTTCAGATAGAGTGGGAAGGAGGGAGGGGGGGGGGGAGAGAGAGAGAGAGAAACATCAATGTGAAAGGGACACATCGAGTGGCTGCTACCCACACAACCCAACCAGGGCCGGGGACAAACTGCAACCGAGGTATATGCCCTTAGCAGGAACCAAACCCGGATCTCTCTGGACCACAGGCCAACGCTCTAACTGCTGAGCCAAACTGGCCAGGGCCAATGTTCTCTTTCGTCGATGTTTCTGTCTTCCTCTCCCTTCCTCTCTTTCTGAGATCAATGAAGAAAAAATATTATTTTTTAAAAAAGCATTGGAAAAAATATCCTCGGATTAGGATTAATAAGAAACAAACACAAAAAAGCTACTACTGTCAGCCACCTATTCTCAGGTAGTCTCAAGAGTTAGGGAACTGCTCTGACTAGGTTAGAGCAAACAAAAACCCTGATAGGGAGATCAGCTCAACTACAGAAAATAATTCTCTAACAAACTGAAAGGGATACCAGGTGGACAGTCTCAGCCTCTGGCTTCTGAGGCCCAGACTACGTACGTGTTTCACAGAGGAAATACACAATAGAGGGCCTGGCCTCAGTTTAGTCCTTCCTCTCTAAAAACTTATTTCTCAACACTACAAAGAGTAAAGCCTTGTTTTCATATAACAACCACACATCTATTCTATATTTTAATTATAGTCTTCCACCTGAAGCCAGAGCTACATAAAGAATGGCCACACCATCTCCATCTTTTGGAGAAGATCCTTCAGTCTCACTTACCGGGTAGGCATGTAACAGCCCTGGAGCCATAATATACGGATTAGGCAACAATGGCGGGACCCCAGGAGGAAGATTAGGAGGAGCTTTTCCTAAAAGAGAAATTGTATTTTTATCTTGTCACACAATTAGTTTTCTCCTTCATCCCAAAGGAATGCCACCCACGTTCTCTTAGCAGGGCTACCTGAAGTTGTAGCAACTGAGCTTCGAGTCGAGGCTGTGACAGTGGAGTTGCTGCCTAGGCTAAGGCCCAGGCTACTGCCACTATTGAGACTGGAGGAGACATTGACCACTGGCGGAGGTGCAGAGACTGTGCTGGACGAGGTGGAGAAAGTGCTTGAGGAAGAATGAAGATTCACCTCACTCTCCACACTTGTGTGCTTCAAAAAGAGGGAACGGTAATAGAAGGAGGAAACAACAATTAGCATAATAGGTTAGAAAAGATAAATACTCTCTGCTGATTATATCATCACGTCAACTTCCCAATTAAAAAGGCTAATGGAGGGTACCAGTGTGCCCCCTGCCAAAGTAGTTAGAAATTACTGCCTAGCGGTGTGGCTCAGTGGTTGAGCACCTACCCATGCACCAAGAGATCGCCGGTTCGATTCCCAGACAGGGCATATGCCCAGGTTGTGGGCCAAATCCCCAGTGGGGAGCATGCAGGAGGCAGCTAATCGATGTTCTCTCTCATCAATGTTTCTCTCTCTCTCCCTCTCCCTTCCTCTCTCTCTAAAATCAATAAAGAAAATCAAATTTAAAAAAAGAAAAAGAAAGAAAGAAAGAAAAATAAATTACTGAATACAGGTACACATTCCCCAGGAGTCATCTGGCAAGAAGGGTAACAACAGACCCACTGCACACCATCACCCTGTTCAGAAAGGCAGCAGAGAGAGTAGGGACAAACTCCCCAGAAACCAATGATACTTGGCCAGCAAGAAGACAGAGAAACCTTTGCACTAAATGGGTCCTTTTTAAGTTAGCCGTCCTCCTTACCATCTCAGCTTAACTAAACAAATAGCTGTTATAAATCACAACAGTGAAATTAATTATTTGACACAAAGCTCTTTACTGGTCTCTACTTTCATTGGATGCTCAGACTCACGCTGATTATTTTCAGGACTCAGGTTCAGCATATCCCACACCAAGAAATAAAAATGGATGTACCGATTAGAAAGGATATCCTTACAAAATTTATTACAGGATATAAAATCACACTAAGTTTCAGTGTTTAAAAAAAAATTCGCATAAAGATTCAGGAAAGTCACTAATAAAGCTTTGAGAATTGGCCCAAAGCTCTACAATACTTCTGGATTTTTCTGCCCCTCTTGACTTCAAACATCCTTTTACTCCTTTCCTACAACCTCAGATCAATGATCATTTTGCCACCTCAGAATCCCTTCTTAGAAGAAACATATGATTGGACAGTTCTAGTGTAAAAAAACCACACTTCTTTTATAGCACCATGCTTACCAAAAGAGTGGATGTCGAAGTGCGCCCAGAAGATGTTGATGATGAGAGGGTATTCTGCTGAGTAGATAACGTGCTGTCAACAAAAAAGAGGTTGCCAAGAGTTAAAGTGCTATGGTCACCTGACCTGAAGCTTTAGTCAAGAATACAGCAAGAGCCCTGGGCAGTGTTGTTCAGTGGTTAGAGTTGGCTAGAGCAGCGAAAGGATCTCCGGTTTAATTCTCAGTCAAGGGCATGTACCTGGGTTGCAGGTTTGATCCTCGGCCCTAGTCCGAGCACATGCAGGAGGCAACCAATCCATATTTCTTTCCCTCTTTCTGATGCCCTGGCCCATGTGGCTCAATGGTTAGTGTGTCAGCCTGCACATCAAAGGGTCTCAGGTTCAATTTCTAGTCTAGAGCACGTACTTGGGTTGTAGTTTCAATCCCTGGCCCCAGTTAGGCCACATTCAGGAGGCAACTGACTGATGTGAGAGAGATACATCGATGTTTCTCTCTTTCTCCCTTTCCCCACCTCCCTCCCTCCCATTCTCTAAGGGAAAAAAAAAAATCAATGAAAAAAATATCCTTGGGAGATTAACAACAAAAACACACACACAATAAAAAATACAGCAGGATCCCAGCCAGTATGGCTCAGTGGATTGGGCATTGTCCTATGGACTGAGAGAGGTAAGGGCACATGCCTGGGTTGTGGGCCCAATCGCCAGTGGGGGGGCATACAGGAGGCAGCCAATCGATGTTTCTCTCACATCATCGATGTTTCCATCTCTCCCTAAAATATCAATAAAAACACACTTTAAAAAAAAGTACAGCAGGCCCTGGCCAGTTTGGTTCAGCGGTTGGAGCATTGGCCCATGGACTAGAGAGAACTGGGTTCAGTTCCCGCTAAGGGCACATTCCTTGGTTGCAGTTTGTCCCCGGCCCTGGTTGGGGTCATGTGGGTGGCAGCTGGCTGATGTGTCTCTCACATCGATGTTTCTCTCTCTCTCTCTCTCTCTCTCTTCCTCCCTTTCTCCCTCCCGCTCTACCTGAAGACAAGTGCAAAAAGAAAAAAAAAGTCCTCGGGTAAGGATAAAAAAAAAAAGTACAGCAAGAAAATAAGGCAGAATATAGGACCAAGAAAATCTGAGACAATATGGTCAGCACAATAGCCAGCCAGGGGCAGTGAGCAGTCAAAGGTAGAATGAATGCTGAAAAAAGAAAAGAATCTTCCCTTGTCTTCACTTCCCGTAATAACTTTTAGGTCATCTACTTAGCTAATGTGATCTTCACCAGTAGAGGGAATAAGATAGAATCAGAGAGCTCTCACCAACTGCTACATTACCACCCCAACTTCCAATCCTCACCCCAAATCACCTGCTGTGTTGTGTGGTAGTAGTATTTGGAATCTCCTCACTGTGGCTCAAGCCACCCAAGGAGGATGAGTGCTGATTGGTTGTAGTCAATAAAGAAGCTGCAGATACCGTTTCACTGAGAGGGGGGATACTAGAAGTGGAAGGTGAGTCAGATTTCACTGCAGAGCCTGTAGCACCTGGAAATGAAGAAAGGAAGGAAGGGGAGTGTCTATAAGAAATGAGAGGTGATGCTCTGGGCCAGGGTGGATCAGTTGGTAGAGCATCGTCCCATGCATCAAAAGGTCACCAGCTGGATTCCCAGTCAGGGTACATGCCCAGGTTGGGGGCTCGATCCCCAGTAACAGAAACGCAGGAGACAGCCAACGGATGTTTTGTTCTCACATTGATGTTTCTTTCTCTCTCAAATCAGTAAAAACATATTAAAAACAAACAAAAAAAGCCCAATACCCTCTGTTAAAAAGAAGAGGTGGCCCTAGCCGGTTTGGCTCAGCGGTTAGACCATCGGCCTGAGGTCCGGAGAGACCCGGGTTCGGTTCCCGCTAAGGGCATGTACCTCGGTTGCAGTTTGTCCCCGGCCCTGGTTGGTCGTGCGGGTGGCAGCCACTCGATGTGTCCCTTTCACGTCGATGTTTCTCTCTCTCTTCCTCCCACTCTATCTGTGCAAAAAATGGGAAAAAAATGTCCTCGGGTGAGGATAAAAAAAAAAAAAAGAAGAGGTGACTACAGTCCTAGGCTGCCCGAAGACAAGAGTGTCAGTTATTTAATAATGGATCATTTGTGTTTAGGTAGAATGCTATGCTGTTTTCAGTTTCAGGCAGTGAAGGGAACCAAGGGGATTATCACCATTTTAAGGCAGACAATCTAAAACTTAGGTTGGTTTGAAGTTAAATAATAAGATATAATCAAGCTAAGACTATAACCAGATGTTTTGACCATTTTACTACAATCTAGGAAATGCAAAAATATTGAAAAGGACAGGAATAACACTACAACTGGGAGGAAAAAGTCTGGAGAACACTCACCTTCAACAGATTGCGTGGTCTGTAACTGCGTGGCCTGCACAGAACTGAATCCATTCTGATACAAAAAACAGGAGAAACAGACAAACAAGTGAACAGATCAAGTTAGCACTGACTGATTCAGCTTAATTTCTAGGGAAACTGTGTTAAGTTAACCAAAGGATTAACATCATCTAGACTATCCCAACAAAATAAAAACAAAAATTAAAAATAAAACCAAAAAGGCTGGTGTGGCTCAGTTGACTGAGTATCATCCCATGGACTGAGCACGCCTGGATTGTAGGCTCCATCGTCCCCAGAGGGGGTGTGCAGGAAGCAGCTAATCAACGTTTCTCTCTCACATCGATGTATCCATCTCTCCCTTCCTCTCTTTATAAAACATCAATAAAAACTATTTTAAAAAAAGATATACCAACCCTGTGTGACCCAAAGCTACAGAAAGCAAACCCCACATTACTGAATAGATCCCAAACCCAAAATGGATATAGGAAAAGGCCCAAATCCAGTGATCTCTAAGGGATGATGTGGGAGTAAGGCAGTTCAGCCAAGTCACCTATTTTTCTGGCTGCATCTGACAATCACTCCAAATCACCTGGCATATGCTATCCCCCTCACCAAGTCAAGGCATAGCAAGGTGAGCTCTACTGATATGCACCCAGAACACTAACAATCAGATATTCTAAGAAAACAGGTACTTGAGACTGATCCTACTGAACAGAATGACTCTTTAGTGCAAAAAGAATTGTTTTCTGGTTCTGAGTCTCCAGACTTGCTAAAAAGATTTTTTATTTCACTGACCACAGAAATGTGCTTTTATCAGCTTCTTAATCAGCACTTCTGAGGTGTGTTAGCACTATCTGTTAAGAAACAAAACGCTAATATTAAAAGGCCTCGCCCTGGCCGGTTAGGCTCAGCGGTTGGAGCGTCGGCCTGCGGTCCAGAGATACCGGGTTTGGTTCCCGCTAAGGGCGCGTACCTCGGTTGCAGTCTGTCCCCAGCCCTGGTTGGTCGTGCGGGTGGCAGCTATTCGATGTGTCCCTTTCGCATTGATGTTTCTCTTTCTCTCTCTTTTCCTGTCTCTCCCTCCCACTCTACCTAAACAAAAAATGGAAAAATGTCCTCGGGATTGGGGGGGGAAATAAAAGGCCTCTTTCCACTATTCTCCTAACCAATGCCCAGGGGCTCATAAAGCCACTACCTTTGCCTGAGTCAGGTCCTTTTGGGGTGATGAAGAGATGGAGCTGGGGTACCGCCGAGTCTGTGTGGATCTCTGTTCATATAGAGGGCCCTGAGCATTGTTTTGGGAGGTATAGGTTGTCGACTGAATTGGGCCACTCTGATAACCGGACTCCTGACTCTGGTTAGATGAAATTGTGGATGAAGATTCACTGTGGGCATGAAGAAGGAAAATCTCAGAGAAATTAAATAAAGCAGATCAACTGATAATAAAGAAACGGTAGCAATCTACTACTAAAGTTGATTACAATCAAAACGAAAATTTCCAGCAACAAATAAAACCACGACCATTTTCTCCTGAAGACTGAAGGCATTTCCACATCCTACAGAGTCAGGCATTTGAATTAAGAATGGAGTTTAAAATTGTTCTTGTCCCCCCACACTCTGCTGTTGTAAGAGGCTAAAGGTCAACAGAAAGATATCTTGGTCCCTTCATCATAACATGAACTCTAAGCATGAGAAAGTCATCTTTTGCTCATATGCATTTTAAGGAATTTGGCTCTCTCAAAAAACCCATTAAATATAAGGTTATTGTAGTCTGGCCTGTGTGGCTCAGTGGTTGAGTGTCAAACCCTGCACAAGGAGGTCGCTGGTTCGATTCCTGGTCGGGATATATGCCCAGGTTGTGGGCCAGATCCCAAATGTGGAGCATGCAGGAGGCAGCCAATCGATGGTTCTCTCATTGATGTTTCTCTCTCTCTCTCCAAAATCAATAAAGGAAATAAAAATTAAAAAGAAAAATATATAAGGTTACTATAGAACTCTCTGAGTGGAACTTTTAAAATATTCTCATGCAATAATGGCGTAAGATTCAATAGATCTAGGCTAGGACCAAACATTCATTCATTCATTTTAATTCTAAGGATTGAGAGAAACAGCCCAGTCCCCTAAAATTCCTCCAGAATTTTCTATTGCTTAAGATGGCCCTCCCTGAAGCTATCAGAGGAGGTAGAAAAATTTCTACTAGAAAGGTTCCTTTTAATCTGTATAATATATCAAGGCTACCTCCTTCTTAGGAGTTCAAAGTTACACCCTTCATAGGCCTAAGTCCCAAACCAAAGGGCTCAAAGTGTCAAAAGCATTTCTACCTGTGGCAAAAGCCAAAGTATTACTTTCCATTAGAGGTGCTGCACACATCTGTAAGAACTGTGCTTGGCCATTCTAGAAGTACTCAAGGGGTATACGTGTATCTGTTTAGAGTTACAGGTAATCCTAGTAATGATATTTTTAGGTGCTACTTTTAAAGTGGCTACTTTTTTCTCAGTCAGAGACTTGGCATCCCCAGAGTTTGAAGAATCAGCAAGAGACTTAGAAAAAGTGGTAAAAACTTAATAAAAGAAGTCTTATGACTGAGGTTTCCTTTACCTGGCCGTGCTGGTATAGAGGCTACTGGGAGCCTGGCTTGAAGAGGCGCTCGTGGTGGGAGTGGACTCATAATCAGAAAGGACAGGCTCTGACCCAAACTGCAATGCCCCGAACTGTAGGTTTAGCCCTGAGATATCTGCTGAGCCAGGCATCTCCACAGCCAGAGCAGGAATCTGTAGAGGAGAGAAAATAATGATTTATTGCAACATTACTATAACAATAATAAAAAATTCTTGCTTCAATTTTCCAAACTATACCCTTATAATCTCAATTCCCAAATCATACATCCTCAAGACACTGGTGATATAGTAGTGAGCATAGTTTACTTCCAAATCACACAATCTCTTGCTCTAAGATAGTATCTATCTAAAAGTTCAAGTACCTTAGAAGTCAAGGAGGCTTTTTTCTTCTGCTGTTTCAGTTTTTGCTGAGCCGGCTGAGGGCTAGAGGATTGGTTGTCTGAAGACCCAGGAGACATTTGTGGAGCCGAGGTGGATTTGCTTGGTAGAGGAGAAGAGGGGGGTGGAGGTGCAGCTGTGGAGGTAGCCACTGCGGATGGCTTCTCCTGAAGGAACACCTCCATCATGGTTGAAGATGGGGTAAAAGCCTGGCGCTTTGTAAAGGGGCTGTGCACTGTTGAATCATTTGGGTTCTTCAAATCTGCATGAATAAACCCAGTATGTATAAGGCCAGAGATACTGATGAACCTTAAGAAAATGCTATTAGCCTGCTCTAGAGCCATGAAGTAGGCCCTCAGGATCAGAACCTCACATAAACAGGTCCTCTTTTAAGACATAATCTCGCACTGGCCAGTTTGGCTCAGCGGTAGAGCGTCAGCCTGTGGTCCAGAGAGACCCGGGTTTGGTCCCCGCTAAGGGAATGTACCTCAGTTGCAGTTTGTCCCTGGCCCTGGTTGGGTTGTGCAGGTGGCAACTACTTGATGTGTCCCTTTCACGTCAATGTTTCTCTCTTTCCCTCCCTCCACTCTATCTGAACAAAAAATGGAAAAATGTCCTCGGGTGAGGATTAAAAAAAAAAAAAAAAAAAAAAAAAGACAATCTCATTTCTGTAGGCGACAATCATTGGTTCATTTATGTTCTTAAGTAGAGCCTAGGAGCCTAAATGAATCAACACTAGTACCCTGCCTGTGTAAGACAGGAATCTAGGACCTATCCATATTTAGATTATAAAGCCCTAAAATGATGCTGTTTTCGAACACTAAAGATAAATCTAGGGAAATCCAAAAAATCCCCAGGTCAAGAGACTACAGGTATATATAGCTAAATTTAATTAAAGAATTTACAGCCTCAACTTTTTATTATTCCCCAGCTTTCTGAAGTCAGCCCAAGTGACTAGGGGTAATTAGTATAGAAAACCAGCCAGTTAGCAGTCCTTCTTACTTCAGGACATATTCTCCACCTCCTACTCCTGCCAGCCTCTTGACAGTAATGCTCCAATGCTTAAAGAATTCAATTCACTTTCCATTTTTCTCACCATACTGCACCAGCGATGGGGATTGTGTGGTGGAGCCCATGTCCCAAGAGGAGGTGGTGGTGGTTCCAGATTGAGAATGCTGAGCTGCCAACTGAGCCAGGGCCTGAGCAGTCTTGAATTGCTCCAAGAACTGGGAGCCTGTGGTGCTGCCACCTTTAGCTTCACTGACATCACCAAATCCTTTCCCTAACATGCTCACCTGTAAATCAACACAGAGATTAGAGAAATCTACAGTCAACAACCTTGCTAACTACTCAAAAAGACACTTATCCAGCCCAGCTGGTGTAGCTCAGTGGCTGAACTTCAACCCATGCACCAAAAGGTCACCAGTTCGACTCCCAGTTAGGGCACATGCCCAGGTTGCCAGGTTGTGGGTCAAATCCCCAGCCGGGGGGGGGGGGGCATGCTGGACGTGACCAACTGATGTTCTTTCTCGATGTTTCTCTCTCTCTCTCCCTTTCCCTTCCTTTCTCTCTAAAGAGCAATAAAACAAGAAGAAAAAAAGACACTTATCCACAGTGAGAGCCCGTATAAACGAGACAAGTAAAGATTGTCACCAGACTGAATACATACCATAGTCCGTTTAGAGTATAAGCTATGGAATCAGACTATCTAGATTCAAATCCCAGCTATGTAACCACAGAAAAGTAATTTTTTCTGTATCTCATTTTTACCTGAAAATAGAAATAAAGGTAGTACCTAATAAAATTGTAGGAGAATTAAACAAATAATGTTATGTAAATCATTTAAAATGTGCATGGAACACACAGACTCAGTAGAAATGAGAACTATTAAAATGCATTTATTTTTTATTTTGTTTTTCTTTATTGAGTTTAGAGAGAGGATGAGAGCGACAGAAACATCAGAGAGACAGAACATCGACTGCCCACCTCCTACGTGCCCCCTACTGGGGACTGGGCCCAAAACCTGGGCATGTGCCCTGACTGGGAATCGAACCTGCGACCTTTTGGTGCATGGGCCCAGCAATCAACCACTGAGCCACACCAATAACAAAAGCTATTTAAATTTATACTTGCGCCCTGCCCTGGCCGGTTTGGCTCAGCGATTTGAGCATCAGTTCCGGTTCCTGCTAAGGGCACACACCTCAGCTGCAATATGGCCCCGGCCCCACCTAGGGTCCTGTGGGAGGCAGCCACTCGATGTCTCTCTCTTACATCGATGTTTCTCTCTCTCTCTCTTCCTCCCTCTCTCCCTCTTGCTCTATCTCAAGATAAAAAAAAAAAAAAAAGCAAAAATGTCCCCAAGTGAGGATAAAAAAAAATTTATACCTGTATCAGCACTTCCTCCTCCCTCCACCTCAGGGATAAAGCTCTAGTGACTAGGGGATTTTCCCCCCTTTTAAAGTCTAAAATCAAGCAATACTTGATTATTAAATTAATGTGAAGTTAATATAACATTTTACTTCAGCCATCAAGGTCTTTGCCCGTTCCACTACACAGTTCAGAAGGAACAAAAACAACCTGGCTGGAGTGGCTCAGTTGGTTGAACATCATACTGTGCACTGAAAAAGCTTGCCAGTTTGATTCCGGGTCAGGGTACACACCTGGGTTTTGGGTTCAATCCCTAGTTGGGAAGTGTACAAATCCAACAGATATCTCTCTTTCTTTCTCCCTCCTTCTCTCCTCTCCCTAAGTATGTCCTAGGGTGAGGATTAGAAAAAAGGGAACAAACACAACTAACTGGGTGCCTCATCTCAACGATGCTAACAACTAGCATATAAGCGAACACAACTTTAGGGGCCATCCCACCTTCTACATTAGACAAACAAATGAGTCAGTACGATGTGATTCTTTTCTCTGTGTGTATCCAAGTTCTATAGGGTAATCATGGTAACAAAGCACAATTTATTCTTAATGCTGTTGGGAGATTCTCTCTATTGCCTGCTATCAAGTACAACTATCAGCCCAGCTCAGAAGATGAACCATGTGACCTTGACTACTCTAAGAAACCACCTAGATTTCATCTCCTTTTCCTTAAGTTCTTTTTTTAAATCCTCACCTGAGGACACTTTTTCCATTGATTTTTCAGAGATTGGAAGGAGGGGCAATGACAGAGGAAGAGGGGAAGGGGAGGGGTGGGAGGAGCAGGGGAGAGAGAGAGAGAGAGAGATGTGAGAGACACATCGAATGGCTGCCTCCCAAACCCACTGGGGATCGAACCTGCAACCCAGGTATGTGCCCTCAACTGGGAATCAAACCGACAAACCTTTCCACACTCCAACCACTGAGCTACACTGGTCAGGGCCTTAAGTTCTTTTTTTGTTTTAATTTTTTTTTAGAGGGTAAGGGAAAGGGAGAGAAAGACAGAAACATTGATGAGAACATCGACTGGCTGCCTCCTGCATGCCCCCACTGGGGATTTAGTCCACAACCTGGGCATGTGCCCTGACGGGAAATCGAACCGGTGACCTCTTGGTGCACGGAACGATCGATGCTCAACCACTGAGCCACACCAGCCAGGCTTAAGTTCTTATTTAACCGTACCATCATCATCATCATCATCATCATCATCATCATGATTGAGCAATGCAACCCGTCTGTCCAACTCACAGTAGGACATTTTCTCCCACTTCAGCCTATATCCCAAGATTATATAAAAACAAACAAACAAAAAAATCAGAAGTCTAGTTGAAAGTATGGGATTGTGGCAGAGATAATTTCACACAGCAATGATTAGCAAATATTCTGCAAGTGCAAAGCATTACATTAAAGGCATAAAAAAAATTACTTAACAATCCTGTCCAGTTTGGCTCAGCGGATAGAGCATCAAGCCTACGGTCCAGAGAGACCAGGGTTCAGTTCCCGCTAAGGGCATGTACCTTGGTTGCAGTTTGTCCCCGGACCTGGTTGGGTCATGCGGGTGGCAGCCACTCGATGTGTCCCTTTCACATCGATGTTTCTCTCTCTCTCTCTCCCTCCCTCCCACCCTCCCACTCTATCCGAACAAAAACTGGAAAAAATGTCCTTGGGTGAGGATTAAAAAAAAAAAATTACTTAACCATCACATATAATGATAATTATTAGGGAGCTCCTGTATTATTCACATCTATTAAATTTTAAGGAAAATCAATCCTCTAGCATTTATTCTCAATGGAAAGGAAACATTAAATAGCACAGCAATTAATACAGGTAATGAGAAGAAACAATAACATTTATACGTATTTTCACATATCATATGACACACATTAAATAAAATGTTGGGGTAAGTGAAAGTAATTTGAAAACTTTAAAAAGTCAATTTAAAGAGATATAAAGCCCTTAACGACATTTTCCAGTCATATCTCTTAGAGGCTATTTCCTGATCTCTGTTTCACCTTCTTACAACCTTTGTCCCATTTTGTTTCTCTCTTCTTTCTCTTTTTATTTTATTTTTTATTTCTTTATCCTCACCCGAGGACATTTTTCCATATTTTGTTCAGACAGAGTGGGAGGGAGGGAGAGAGAGAGAGAGAGAGAGAAACACGATGTGAAAGGGACACATCGAGTGGTTGCCACCCACATGACCCAACCAGGGCCGGGGACAAACTGCAACCAAGGTATGTGCTCGTAGCGGAAACCGAACCCGGGTCTCTCCAGACCGCAGGCCGACGCTCTAACCACTGAGCCCAACCGGCCAGGGCTTCTTTCTCTTTTTAATCCCTCATTCCTTTCCCTTTCAACCTCTTCTACTTTTTCTCACCTGTCACCTTTCATTTATGGCAGAACATCAACCACCAAATAATTAACACAAAAAAAATTTTAAGACAACAGTTAAAAACTGATAGAATTCTGGATTAAAGGCTACCTTAGTAGTTTTCTAGTTAAAATAATTACTATAACCCTACTCCTAGAAAAATTAAATTATATGCACACACATAGTCCTGTACCTCTTAAAACAAGAGTATCCCTCCACCAAAAAATAAAGAGAAAAGAAAGGAAAAAGCAAAGAGAAAAAGCAAAGAAAAAGAGAAAAAGCAGTACTTGTTAAGATTTACTGACTATAAGAAAATTGATCTTGCCCTGGCCGGTTTGGCTCAGCGGTTAGAGCGTCGGCCTGCGGTCCAGAGAGACCCGGGTTCGGTTCCCGCTAAGGGCATGTACCTCGGTTGCAGTTTGTCCCCGGCCCTGGTTGGTCGTGCGGGTGGCAGCCACTCGATGTGTCCCTTTCACATCGATGTTTCTCTCTCTCTCTCTCTCTCTCTCTCTCCCCCTCCTGCTTTACCTGAACAAAGAATGAAAAAGTGTCCTCGGGTGAGGATAAAAAAAAAAAAAGAAAAAAAAAGAAAATTGATCTTTGCATCATCTGTTTAGCTGAAATTATTCCTTTGCCACAACTAATAATCTTGAATTAAAAAAAAAAGAGAAATGTTCTGAATGAAGTCACATGACATAAGCGTTCTACGTTATTAATAAGTAACAGCACTACTGCCACCATATTTGTATTGCCCTTATCCATTATCTTCCTAAAGCCCTATAAGATAGGCACAGCAAGCACTTAAAAGAGGCAACCAATCCTTGTGAGACATGCATGTTTCTCTCTTCCACCCCTGCCCGCCCCTTTACTCTAAAAAGCAATGGAGCCTGGCTGGTGTGACTCAGTGGACTGAGCATTGTTCCATGGACTGAGAGGTCCTAGTTCGATTCCCGGTCAGGGCACATGCCTGGGTTGTGAGCTCAATCCCCAGAGGGGACCAGCCTGCAGGAGGCAGCCCATCAATATTTCTCTTTCATATTGATGTGTCTATTTCTTTCTCCCTTCCTCTAAAAAAATAAATAAAAACATATTTATAAAAAAAAATTAAGTGCTTTAAAAAATAAAAAGCAATGAAAAAATATCCTCAGGTGAGGATTAACAACAAAACAAAAAAAACTGGGGGGAGGGGGCGCGCAGGGTGAATGGGGGAAATGAGGACATCTGTAATAGCGTCAACAAGAAAAATAAAGTTAAAAAATTATTTTAATTAAATTTATTGGGGTGATATTGGTTAATAAAATTATATAGGTTTCAAGTATACAATTCTGTAATACATCATATGTACAGCAAGCATAATTATCACCACTTAAGAGAAAAAGGGAAAAACAACTAGTAAGAGGAAGTTTTAGGAAGACTCTAAGTTTCTGGAAACCTAGTCCAGAAATGTCTGGTTTAAATAAATATATATGGCAATTCTGCTCCTATCAATAAATAGAGAACAACTATAACTTCCTATTGTTAAAAGGATTGGAAATTGTTGATGCCATTGATTTTTCTCTCTTCAAGCCCTGGCCAGTTTGGTTCAGTGGGTAGAGTGTCGGCCTGCAGCCCCTGGGTTTGATTCTGCCCAAAGGCATGTACCTCAGTTGCAGTTCATCCCTGGCCCCAAGGGTCATGCAACTAGCAACCAATCAATGTGTCTCTCACATCGATGTTTCTCTCTTCCTCCCTCCCTCCCTCCCTCCCTCCCACTTTCTCTAAAGATAAATGTAAAAATCTCCTGGGGTGAGGACTTAAAGAAAAAAGAATAGCATACAAAGTTCAGCACAATGAGTATTCATTTTCATAAGATTCAGTATGTCTGAAGTTAAGTTCTCTTCAATAGCTATCCCTAACTATCCAACTCAACATCTCTACACCCTGGGCTGCTTAGGACAGAAAAGGATGCTTTACCCTGCCCCAAACTTATGATTCTCACTAGAATGAATTACTGTCTGTAAGAGTTTGGCAGGCAAGTTTGGTTAGGATACACCATGTTTCCTACTTACCATACTATGATGAGAAAATGTGTTCCCAGAAGCAGGCTGTGATATGGTACTCTGCTTCGAGTTACTGAACACCAGAGGCTGGGCAAGCGAAGGAGCCTGAGATGGATCCAGATTAGATGAATCATTCTCCATTGAAGATGGTGTCTTCCCCAACAGAACAGCAAGGTCAATTCTAATGGATAGGAAGAGGAGGATCTTATGAGTAATGCTTAACATTCCAGCATTCCCCAACACTCAACTCAAACATTTGTGTCACCCTCCAGAAACACAAAGTCCTGACTGAAATGCTTAATTTACCAAAAGTAACTGATATACAAGAGCCACTGTAGTTATCTAGCTATGTTCTAATAATGTTGTCAACCACGTTAAATATTTTATTTAGTAGTTAATTTAATGAAATATCAAATATTAGTTTTAATACAGCAGCTTGATAATTGGGCCCAAATGTACTAATTTTGTATTTATTATTTTTTAAATCCTCACCCAAGGGTATTTTTTCCATTTATCTTCAGATAAAGTAGGAGGAAGGGGGAGGGAGGGAGGGAGAAAGAGAGAGAGAGAGGGGGAGGGAGAGAGAGAGAGGGGGAGGGAGGGAGGGAGGGAGGTAAACATTAATGCGAGAGGGACACATTGACTGGTTGCCTCCCATATGACCCTGACCAGGGCAGGGAGGAATAGCAACGGAGATACACGCCATTGACCGGAATTGAATCTGCGACTCATTGGTCCTTGGGGTGATGCTCCAACCGCTGAGCCAAACTGGCCAGGGCTGTACTAATTTTTAAAAATAGACTTTTAGACAGCCGGTCAAGATGGCAGCGTAGGTAAACGTGGTATCGCATCCTCCCACAACCACATCAAAGTTACAACTAAACTACAGAACAACCATCATTCTTTTTTTTTTTTATCCTCACTCGAGGACATTTTTCCATTTTTTTTGCTCAGATAGAAGGGAGAGAGAGGAAGAGAGAATGAGAGAAACATTGATGGGAAAGGGACACATCAAGCGGCTGCCACCCGCACGACCAACCAGGGCCAGGAACAAACTGCAACCGAGTTACACGCCCTTAGCGGGAACCGAACCCAGGTCTCTCTAGACCGCAGGCCGATGCTCTAACCGCTGAGCCAAACTGGCCAGGGCCAGAACAACCATCATTCAAAACCGCCTGAAATCGAGCTGAATGGAAGTCCTACAACTACGAAATTAAAGCAACAGCCACATCCAGACTGGTAGCAGAGGCGGAGGTGTGAGGGGCGGCAGCGCAACAGGCTGGTCCCACACCCAAGTGTTGTGGATAAAACTCAGGAGGCTCCCGCGGCTGGGTAGGTCCTTCCTGAGGACTGAGGGGTCCCCGTCCCACACCAGGTGCCCCGCTCAGGGTTCCAGTGCCAGGAAGAGAAGTCCCCATAACTTCTGGCTGGAAAAACCAATGGGAACTGAGGCTCAGGGAAGCTGAAGCGGCTGGAGCCCAGGCAGCTCCTTAAAGGGCCCGCCCACAAACTTATCAGACTCTCTCCCTCTAAGCTTGGAGGGGAGGCAGTTCCAGGGACGCCAGAGACATACAGGGAAGAACTGAGCTGTTTGGCACTGGAGCGAGGGCTGGAGAGGGGGCTTTCTCGGGGACAAATGTGCTGTTAAGAGGCCTTTGTTCCTTTGGTGAGCCCTTCCCGGGGGGGCGGCAGACAGTCGCCATATCTGGGACTCCAGCAACCTGGCTCACACTGGTAGCCCCGCCCTGGTGACTCCCTGAGGCCCCGCCCCACCCAACTTTCAAGCCCACCCAAGCTGTTGCCACTTGCTTAACCATAGGATTGGCCTGTCTTGGATCCTGCTTCAGGTTTTTCCTAAATTCTTTCAAACAAGCAGCGAGCCCCATGCCTCTCATTAAGTAATACACTGAAACAAACACAGGGAGGCAGCCAAAATGAGGAGACAAAGAAACAGGTCCCAAATTAAAGAACAGAACAAAACCCCAATAAAATAACTAAGCAAAATGGAGATAAGCATCCTAACAGATACTGAGTTCAAAATACTGCTTATAAGTATGCTCAATGAACTTAGTGAGAACCTCAGTGAACTTGGGGAGGGCCTCAAGAGCATAAAAAAGGACCAGTTAGAAATCATGGATACACAGTTAGAATTGAAGGAGAAATTAACTGAAATAAAGAATAATTCACACAGCTTCAATAATAGAGTAGGTAAATCCAAGGAGCAAACCATCAATTTGGAATATAAGGAAGCAAAAAATGCCCAATCAGGACAGCAAAAAGAAAAAAGAATCCAAAAAAATGAGGATAGTGTAAGGAGCATCTGGGACAACTTCAGGAGTGCCAACATTCGCATCTTGGGTGTGCCAGAAGAAGAAGAGAGAGAACAAGAAATCTAAAATCTGTTTGAAACAATAATGGCAGAAAACTTTCCTAACTTGGTGAAGGAAACAGACATACAATTCCAGGAAGCACAGAGAGAGTCCCAAACAAGATGAACCCCAAGAGGCCCACACCAAGACGCATCATCATCAAAACGCAAAAGGTTCAAGACAAAGAGAGAATCTTAAAAGTAGCAAGAGAGAGCCCTGGCCGGTTTGGCTCAGCGGTTAGAGCGTCCGCCTGCGGTCCGGAGAGACCCGGGTTCGGTTCCCGCTAAGGGCACGTACTTCGGTTGCAGTTTGTCCCCGGCCCTGGTTGGTTGTGCGGGTGGCGACCACTCGATGTGTCCCTTTCACATCGATGTTTCCCTCTCTCTCCCTCCCACTCTGTCTGTACAAAAAATGGAAAAATGTCCTCGGATGAGGATTAAAAAAAAAAAAAAAAAAAAGTAGCAAGAGAAAGGCAGCTAGTTACCTATAAGGGAGTTCCCATTAGGCTGTCAGCTGATTTCTCAAAAGAAACTTTGCAGGCCAGAAGGGAGTGGCAAGAAATATTCAGAGTGATGAAAACCAAGAATCTACGACCAAGATTACTCTATCCTGCAAAGCTGTCATTTAGAATCGATGGACATATAAAAACTTTCCCAGACAAGAAAAAGTTAAAGGAGTTCATCACTACCAAACCATTATTATATGAAATGATGAAGGGTCTTTTTGAAGAAAAAGATAAAATGTATGAACAAACAAAATGGCAATGAATACATATCTATCGACAATGGAATCTACAAACAAAATGAACAAGTAGAACAGAAACATTCTCATAGATACAGAGAACATTTTGTTGGTTGCCAGTTGGGAGGGGGGTTGGGGGAGTGGGTGAAAAAGGTGAAGGGATTAAGAAGTACAAATTCATTGCTAGACTGACAAACCTCTAAGGGAAAGGGGTTAGGGGGGGTGGGAAGAAATAAACCAAAGAACCTATATGCATAACCAATGGACACAGACAGTAGTGTGGGAAAAGGTGGGAGGGGGGCGGGAGTGGGGAGGAGGGGGTCAATGGGGGAAAAATGTGGAACATCTGTAATACATTTTACACCCAACAATAAAGATTTAAAAAAATAAATAAATAAAATAAAATACAAATAAAAAAATAAAAATAAAAACAGACTTTTACAGAGAGAGGAAGAGATGTGAGAGTGAAACGTTAATTGGCTGCCTTCTATATGCAGCCTGACTGGGAATAAAACCAGTGACCTTTCGGTGCATGGGATCACTCTCAACCAACTGAGCCACACCAGCCAGGGCAAAATTTACCCGCAATTTTTTAATACCGAAAACCTGCCATTACCAATACATAAAACCATACACTATAATACTAGTTTCAAGTGGCTTTGGAACAAAAAAGATTTTGGAAAATTTCCCCCAACTTTTATAAAATTTCAAGTTATCTATGGCATAATAAAAATATGTATTTGTGCTTTGCCCCTAGTTTTTGTCACAGAACTACTAAAACCCTTCAAATGTCCTGATAGAGGGATCTTTTGTTACTAATGACCTCCTTCCAATCATGAGGTTACTTTGGGTGGGACCTCCCACAGACCTTCAAAATCAGATCTGGTGAACAGAAACCCCAATGTGATTAGAGTGTTAGAACTTTCAGCCCTACTATACTCCACCCATTTCTAGGGAGGGAGGATAGCTGTACATTAAACTCAATCACTAATGACTTAATCATTATAAAAAACTGATTAAAAAAAAAAACCTCTTGCCCTGGCTGGTTTGACTCAGTGGATAGAGCGTCAGCCTGTGGACGGATGAAACTCGGGTTCAATTCCCATCAATGGCACGTACCTCGATTGCAATTAATCCCCAGCCCTGGTTGGGGTCATGTGGGAGGCAGCCACTGGATGTGTCCCTTTCACGTCAATGTTTCTCTCTCTCTTCCTCTCCCTCCCACACTCTATCTGAAGAAAAGTAGAAAAATGTCCTCAGGTGAGGATAAAAAAACAAAATTTCTTGAACAATGAGATACAATGACCTCTAGGTAGGTGAACACCTCAATGTGCTGGTGGGAGGGCAACATAACCAGAGAGGACATGGAAGCTCTGTACCCCATCCCTCATACTTGACCCTATGCATCTCTTCCATTTGGCTGTTCCTGAGCACTAGTTGAAATAAACCAGTAACGGCAAGAAAACCCCTTTTCTAGCCCAGCTGGTGCGGCTCACTGGTTGAGCGTCAACCCACGCACCAAGAGGCTGCTGGTTCGATTTCCAGTCAGAGCACATGCCCAGGTTGTGGGACCCATCTCCAGTGGGGTGCATGCAGGAGACAGCTGTCTTTCATCTATGTCTACCTCTCTCTCCCTCTTCCTCTCTCTAAATCAATGAACAAAAAATATTTTTTAAAAAAATCTCTTTCCTGAGTACTGTGAGTCATTCTAGCAAATTAGTGAACCTGAAGAAAAAAATCCCCCCAAATTTGTAGTCAGCAGAGAAGGAGTGTGGTAGCCTGGGTACCCATTTGCTGCTGACCTCTGACACAACGGCCATCCTGTGGGACTAAGCTATTATGCTAAGTTTTAATCAACGCCTGTGAGGCTTACCTATGTAATTAAATGACTATTTGGGGGTGTGAATCAATTTTATTTTTATTTCTTTTTACTTTTTGAAAATTTATTTTTAATTTTTTTTCTTTGTTGATTTTAGAGAGAGAGGAAAAGAGAGGGAGAGAGAAACATCAATGATAGAGAACATCGACTAGCCGCCTCCTACATGCCCCCCACTGGGGATTTGGCCCACAACCTGGGCATGTGCCCTGACCGGGAATCGATCTGGCAACCTCTTGATGCATGGGTCCACGCTCAATCACCAGGCCACACCAATCAGGTGGAAGAATCAATTTTAAAACTGTAACATATAGAACTCACATCCAATAAATTAATTATTGCCAACTCTTATAAATCTACCAGTCAACTAAAGAGATCTAATCTGACTTGGTTATCATTACTACCAACACCTTGGGAGCTTGTAAAGGTCCAATGCCACTCTTCTTTATAGCTATCTCAGAAAATAACCTTTGAGAAAAGATACTGAATTTTACCACACACTTGCCTCTGACCAGCAGTGATTGTCACATTCTCTGCAGGCAGAGGAACTGAAGAGACATTGGAGGCAGTGAAGATCTTGGTCTCAGAAAGCTGGAAAACAGAGAAATTAGTCACTTCTGGTGTTAGGTACGTTATAGTCAGAATCCTGGCATAAGTAAGGGGAATTCATTTCATCAAGAAAAAAGGAAAACCCTTTGAAGAAGAAACTACTCTGAAGAATCTTGAATGGATAGGCTTTAAAACCCCTTCTATATATGCTCAATGATTTTATCAAAAGAGAAATCGAATCAAAAAACCCAAAAATATACAGTCGAGTCACATAATATGCACACTAAACTTACAGGAAGGCGAACCTACTTGCTAGACAGAAAAACAGAAAACCCCTTTATATTTTCTCATTATAGTTCCCCACTCCCAACCTCTACCAAACTATAATTTATCTTCTACTCCTCTCAAAGAAAGGAAAACGACAGCCAAGATGTAGACAGAAATAAAAAAGTTAATTCTTGGCTTTTGAGTAGTAAGGGCCCAAGTGCTGGTGAGTTAAAGTCTTTCCAGGAATAATTATAACCATATGCAATCGCTGCCTTAAGACTGACTTTATTACACCTAACTTCTCCACTATAAGACACTAAAATCAGGTCAGCAATTATTGGGAATAATTCTTCGTACTATTCAAACACTGATTTGGTTTTGTTTTGACATTTTGATTAAAATCTCTCCTCTACAAAGAGGGGATTCACTTCCCCAAATATATTATTCTCTGAAAGTTGCTTAAGCAGACAAGCCAAATCTTAGAAAATATTCACAACACAGTCTAACTCAATTATAATAGAAAACAATCACCCTGCTGCTGATGTACCTGAAAAATTTAAAACTCAGGCCTAGCTACCAAAACAGTTTGATATCACTTCCTCTTACCATAAAAGCTGTCTTGCCTGAACATATGAGTATAAGTAGATTAAAAATGTTAAAATGGAAATTCATCCATGATCACTGAAAACTGTAATTCACAGCAAAAGTTTGAGGTGACCAGGAACCAGCAAGATTCTTTTACTGGGGTACTATACTATTCCAGTGAATTCACAGAGCTTGTTTATGTGCCTTATGCCACCCATCTATGAGATTTCCAAGTTGAGTAAAGCTGGAAGATAGCCAATTCTACATATTTATCTCAATTACATTCATAAAGTTGGGCTTCAAGTAAATTAAAAGGGTTCCAGAGCCAACCAGATTATAGACTTGAGGACTTGGCACTTTAACTCTCCCTTTGTACCCACCTCCAAGCCAATTACAGGACCATACACCAATGCTTCAATTTGAACTAAATAGTGAATTGTTCCAAGTAGAGTCATGGGCCACCAGCAGCTGCTAATGCACTACCTGCCTAACTCCATTTCCAGTGCCCTACCCAACCACCATCTCTTCCTGGGATAAATCCGACAATCAGATATATGGACTTACACAAGTGCACTTGCCCTTTCCATAGTCTGGTTCCACAGAGTCCTGTTCATGCCCAGTCTCCTTCATATAACATATGTGAAATGTTCTGGCTCAGAACACTATTTTGGATGTAAAAGTTTTGGGTCAGAATCTTAAGGATGAATTTTGAGGGGTAGAAACATACCCATTTTCTATCCCTAAACACCACTTAGGGATAGAAGACACTAAAGAAAAATGACCTGGAAATACCTACATCTTCATTCCAATCTTCAGTTCCCCACTCCTCTGTTGCAGTCCTCCATGCACCTGAGAATAAAAGAAAAACAGTGATTTTAAGTGCCGGTATACAGTATGTGCAGAAAACACTAATGCAGTAACAATTTTGGCAGCCAAAAGTATAACCATATTTAGTAATCAGAAGGGATTCTTGGGCTTCAGAGGGAAGAAAAGACTACTTAGAAAGGCATACCTCAGGACACCAGGGTTTTATTAAGATTACGACTTCACAGCTACTTTCAGTTTTTGTTACATGGCTGTACAGCAAATAGCAAGAGTGAGAAAATGCAAGAGTGTGCAAGACCCCAATGAACCCAATGCTCCAGGCAATCTCTTAAGACACGCAATCTCTGACTTAGTGGTCAATTCAATGAAATCGCAACAGCCAATATAAACCAGAACAAAACTCCACATATTTATCTGATGTAAGACAGCACTGTGGCCAATCTGAAGAAAGACGGCAGCAGTGATAGAAGAACACAAATGGTTGCCCACATAACAGTGAAAGGGTAGTGAAGAAGGAAAGGTGAAATCCATACTGAGAACCCTGACAACTATCTGCTATTGGGAATGTATATAAAAATTAATTCTTAGCAAAGCAAAGTTCATAAATCTTACTGGCTTAACTATAAGAAATCACTACAAGATCTGCTCTTTTCACAAGATATTGGATGAGACCAAAAATCAAGTATGAGTGAGTTATTCTCCTAATCCTCATCATATGCAATGTGAAATCTGACCTGCCAAGGGCAAAGCACAGACAATGCACACTCCTCATGTTGTTAATAATTAAGTTTGGATAGATTTTACAGGAGAGATCCACAGCATTCAGACCACCTTCTACGTTTCCCTTATTTTGCTTCACGTGCACATATATCCTTAGTAAGGGGAACAGCACTTTCTTAAGGAATATGGGTGCAAGTTTCAATGAGAACCAGGATTCTTCCCTTCAAACAAAGGACTACGGTTAAGAAATAAAAATCTCAATGGGGGAAAAAGGAGAAACATCTGTAACAAAAAATAAAAATCTCTCTGTAGAAGGAACAAGAACACTTTCTATTTTCTGTTCTAGAATAGTATATATTGATATAAAATAACTTGAGAGATTTCTCTGCAAATGGAAAAAGATTCTTACAAGTATCACTCAGATATTTCATTGTCACTGAAGAGAAATATTCTAACACCTACAAAACGCATCTGAAGTTCTTCTAAACATTTAATAATGAAAAATGCTATTTCCTAGAGAAAAATATGTTCATCATAATGCCTTCCCCAGGACAATGTTAAAATTGTACCAGGGAAATCCCAAATCACTTACTAATGACAATGTTCTCCAAATCAAACTGAAGTCCAATCTGTATCAGGTTAGACAAGTTACAAACCACATTTTCCTCTTGCTCTCTACTGATACAACTCTTCCTGCCCATTGACATCCATCCCCCTTCACTAAATGGAACCCAAGATCTGGGTTAATGCATACACACAATCCTAGAGCTGAAATTGACCGGAGAACTTATCTACTATTGAGAGGCAATCTCTCAATGCAAGTATTTTATTTTCTGCCCTCTGGCAACTACATCTGGGATAGAAAATAATACAGATTTCTCATTATTTTCTTATATAGGATATATGAAAAAGACTGAGGAAGAGGACTAAATTGAGGAAGCATTAAAGAACAGAGAGAGTGCAAATGCTCTTAACAGTAGATTAGGGATTCCATTCCATCAGCAGAAAGCAAATCGATGTAAATGTTAAATAGTAATTAAATGAACCAAATTTTTAAAAAGCAAATATGGGTATAGAATATTGCAGAAAAAGGCAGAAAGAGAAAAAGCAGGAAGACAGAAAAATGACATATCCACAGATATTTCAGTTCATAAAAATCTATATAAAAATATCCGGGGCAGTTAGGCGCCTGGATGTATCATACCAGGAGCAGTCTCAAATTTTCGGGGATAATTTGACCCCTCAACCCCAATGAAATCAAGTCCTGAAACAAAAAAGAAAAGAAAAGAAAAAAACAACCAGTGAAATTTTGCTTGTGAATGAGAACATTTGCCCCCAATACACAATTCCCAGTGTACCTGTGGATATTTTATGGGTAGGTTTGAATTTCTTTTTAAATTAAAAAGGGAGTTTGGGTTTGCTATCATGAAAACACAAAAAGAGATCATGCATGAAGGTGAGCTTGTATTGTGAAATTAATGAGAATGCATGAAGCTATACCCAACACTTTCACATTAACAAGATAGCATCACGTAATTTTTCATTCAGACACAAACCACAGATTTCTGATTCTATCTTCTCAAATCTGCTATTCTTCACTCAGTAGAAATAAACATACACCTCAACCTTCTGTTTTTTTCCAACCAGAACCTTGCTGAAAATAGCTAAGGTTTGCAATCCAGGACTGGGACTCCATGCCTGATTTTCTACCCACAACTGAAAATAAATCCCTTCAGTTCTAGCTTTACTGCCAATGATAAAAATCCAAATACCCAAGAACAAATTCAAGCTCAAAAAACAGTAACTTTTGTTATTCAGACTATTACCACTGCCTCTACAAAGCCATCAAGAGATAAAAAGCAGTTCTAATGCTTACAAAGTTAAAACAAAAAAGGACATTTCCTAGTCAAACAGTCAAGGTAATTCAAAGATATCTATCCTGCCAATAACTCAACTTTAGTCTCCACCAATTGGAAAGTTGTATTCCAAATGAACTTATAAGACAACTTGGTAAACAAAACACAAGTAACATTCAGGACCTGAGGTATATGTAACATCTTATGGACAGTAGATGATAAACTGTGCCAAAGACCCTACTAAAGACACAGAGATAAAGATCACTTATCTTTAAAAAGGGGCAAGGTGCCCTGGCTGGTTTGGCTCAGCAGTTAGAGCATCAACCCGTGGACCAAAGAGTCTCGGGTTCAATTCCTGGTCAAGGGCATGTACCTAGATTTTGGGTTTGATCCTCAACCGCAGTCGGAGTTGCGCACAGGCAACCTGTCTCTCTCACATTGATGCCCCCTACCCCTTCTCTCTCTCTCTCTCCACTCCCTATCTGAAAATTGGTGGGAAAGTATCCTCAAGTGAGGATTAAACAAAATAATAAAAAATAAGGGCAGGAGGTGTGGCTCAGTGGTTGAGCATTGACCCATGGACCAAGAGGTTCAATTCCTGGTTGGGGCACATGCCCAGATTGTGGACTCCATCCCCAGTAGGGAATGTGCAGGAGGCAGCCAATCAATGTTTCTCTCTCATTGATGTATCTCTCTCTCTCTCTCTCTCTAAAAATCAATAAAAACATATTAAATAAAAATAAATAAAATAAAAAGGGAAAAGGCAAATTTAAATTGCTAAGGAGTCAAAAAGCCTATTTTGTGTTCTACTATTAACTCATTCCTCCCTTTATAAGAGGAAAACAGTCTCAGGTTCTGTATATGCTGGCTCAGCCAGGAGGTAGCTGATCTCATAAGAATAAAGTCCTCTGGAGCCCAGAGACTACACTTATTTAAAGCAGTAAAAGTATGTTACTCCCAAACATATCTTGGTGTATCCCACAAGCCTAACATATCCTTAAATATACACACCCTACCCAGACAGAGGAACCAAAGTCAGCTAACAAACAAAGCAATTTTATTAAAATCCCCTAACACTTGACTATCCAATAAAGAGAGCTAGAAAGTCTCAAGATTTCCTTCTTGCCCAGATATTGAGATTTACCAGATTTTCAGTACCAGAAAACTGACAGTGGTCTTTGATTCTAGATCCTCTTCATCTCTACAAGTAGTGGCTTAATTAATTCTGGTATCTTTTCAAAAAGCAAAGCTAGCTACCCTAACAGAAACACTAGAAAATATACTGGAGCTAACAGTAGCCACATGGTATAATGGAAAGAGCATGGGCTTACCGAGTCAAACAATCTGAGTTCAAATACTAGCCACTGCTCTTTCAGTTTAAGTTTTGTCATCTAAAAAATGATGATAAATGTCTAGGTCATAAAATAGTGATGATCAGGTGAAATAGTTCATATAATGTGCCCACAGACAAATAGTAAGTAAAGACAATACACAGTAATTCAATTGCAATTTTCTCCTTTTCTCTCCCATCTCTGCACCCAAAAACTATTCCTCCACTTTACATAACTGTAACCCAAAAAAATTATTTCTTTAGGTTCTTAAGAGACAAGAAAGAAATAATAGTCACTCACTCGTCCCATCATCTGGCTCAAAGTGGCCAGTGTTGTTCCACGTACTGCCGCTATTATTGCCATAGTTATCATCAGTATTGGCTGGCTCTGCGTAATCAGCTGGGTTAAAGGTTCTGGAAGTGGGATAAGGGGTGAACAACAACAAGAAAATCTTAGAAGAGTCTCTGACATCTAAGTAATACCAAGAAAAAACTAACTCAAAGAGGAGGGGAATCAGAATCTTCAGTCCCTTTTCCTAGTACAAATCAATCACGGCCCCTTTCTATAATCCATGATGTCAACTTTTCCTCACCTATCAGCCTACCTAAAATTTCATGGCATAATCTCAATTTATATCTACTATTCATTTTGGGTTAGGACACCAATAATAATCAAAATAGCCACATGAAGATTTTGGGAAGATAGTAGGTATATGCATTCAAATGAAGCTATGAGATAGAGATAATGACCCAGCTGATAAATGCTTATTCCTAAAAAATAAGCCCTAAGCACACACCTTTCTGATTAAATAGTCTAGATATTTTTTTAATTATCTTTATTTTTCAGAGTATTACAGATGTCCCCCTTTTTATCCCCTTCTGACCCCCTCTATCCTGCTCCCACCCCCCTCCCACCCAGGCCTTCACTGCACAGTCTAGACATCTTTTTGATTACATGTTAGTTAAAGCTGCCTACTATTATCCTCAGGATATCAGGATATTAGCCACTCTAAAATATTATGGTGATACTTAGGGGAAAAAATTAAAGACCTTGACATTGGATCAATGAAACTTACCCCATTCCTTGAGCAGAAAACCTTCCTCCTCGCCTACCAGAACCACCTAAGGAAAGAGAGAAAGAGAAATGTTTTAGAAGTTGATACAAAACTAATCTGCCAATGGAGGCAGCTCTGGAATGTTAAACGGTATTATCAGATGTTCTTTTTCTCACTCTGTAGTACATCAGTTAATGTAACGAAGTAGACAATCACTACTACTGACAGACTGTTCCTTTGCTGATCACACTGCTCGGTCCTCAAACAAATACAGTAATATCAACAATAAAGACTAGAGAAAATGACATCCATCTTCTCACTGCCCATTTAGCAATCTCCAAAATTTGCATGACACCTCAACAATTAAAGTAACTAGACTCCATGTGAATTTGCTTTTAAACAGTGTAGACCCCTACAAAACTAATAAGAATCCCTCAATATCCAGTCCCCACCACACCAAACTGATCACCTCTGCCTCGTCCACGACCTCTTCTGCCTCTTTCTGTACCTCTTCCAGAAGGCCCACCACTCTTGGTGCCATCTAATCCATTTTCCTGACCCCGAACTGGGGGAAACAAAACAAAAATGACCAGAGCAGAGTCAACAGAATATATATAAATGGTATGTATATATGCTGGTGGGAAGACAAAAATGAGAGAAAATGAGCTGAAAGGATGGAACATGACAGTTACTAGGGAAATGGTGAAGACCTACAACAGAGAGTTATAAGTCAAAACTTTACAAATGACTACATGATAATTTCACACCAAACTCGTGGTTGCTGCTAGACAAGGATAATGTAAGAGACACCAAGGTCTCAGAAGAGATAGTAACAAGAAAAACCAAAAAGGTAATATAGTGGTTACTAGCTTCAGCCTAGCAGGGCCTTGACACCCCTGAAATCTGGACATTACTGACCCACAGCTGGTTTTGTTAAAGCCCCATGCATACACTCTCGTCCACGGCTGGCACCACGTCCGCGTCTTGGTGGCCCACCACGTCGCCGACTATAATCTCTGTCCCGGTCTCGATTTTCTTTGCCTTCCTCGTTGGATTCCATTTGGCCACCATCCTTCTGTCCTGAGACTCCCTTCTTCTTCCCGACCATCTCCCAGGAATGCTAAAGAAGGACAGAGCATTCATGTCTAATCAACATATATTGCTACCAGAAAACTAGAGCTAAAAGCTGAGACAACTGTTAATCATTCTCTTCTCAGCATCCAAGTCTAAGATACTTCTAACTAATTTACTTCTATTTGAAACATATAGAAAGAATTGGAAAATACAAAAAGAATCTCAAGCCCTGGCAGTGGTTAGAGCATCAGCCCGCGAACCAGAGTCCTGGGTTCACTAAGGGCACGTACCTCGGTTGCAGTTTGTCCCTGGCCCCAGTTGGGGTCATGTGGGTGGCAATCACTCGATATGTCTCTCTCACATCATGTTTCTCTGTCTCTTCCTCCCTCTCTCCCTCCCACTCTATCTGAAGTCCTCAGGTGAGGATAAAAACAAAACAAAACACTGAAGTCCTTTTAGTAAGGGAGGTGCTAATGGATTTTAGGGATCATTTCCAAAAGGATCACCAAGATCAATCGCATGGCATATTAGTCAAAGGATCTAATTACTGGTGCCTTGCTTTCAAGTATGTTTCCTGAGCTGAAACTAATTTCCTGTGGATTCAGTGACTCTCAACTTTTAATAGTCATATTTATGTCAAATAAAGCAAAAAATGAAAAACTCAAAGTTTCTCTGAGTTAACTTTGAAATTCAGAATGAGTAAGTAGCATTCGACTCTTTGGGCACTCTCTCTAATCAAGCAATTCAGAATTTAGGAGGAAAACAACAACTATACCTACTTTCCCACCCAACACCCCAATTTCCTTTACTTTAAAGACTAAATAGAAGTCAGAAAAGCACAGCCCTGGCCCTGAGTGAGACATACTGACTACAGGAAGCCTTCCGTTCCAAGTTTTATGCACTGTGTTTTCTTTCCCCTATACTTTCTAAACTGATATAATCCAATTCTGCTTTCCCCAGAAGTAAATACTCTATGATTCATTCTAGAAAGAAAATATGTGGTAAGAAAAATAAGCTACAGACCTTTTTTTAAAAAAATTTAAATGTAATTCTTTAAAAAAAAATTTTTTTTCTTTATTCATTTTTAGAGAGAGGAAAGGAGAGGGACAGATAGAAACATCGATGAGAGAGAACATCGACTGGCCACCTCCTGCATGGCCCTCACTGGAGTTTTGGCCCACAACCTGGGCATGTGCCCTGACCGGGAATGAAATCAGCAACCTCTTGGTGCATGGGTCGATGTTCAGTGGTTAGAGCACTGGTCCCCTGAACAAAGAGTCATGGGATCGATTCCAGTCAAGGGCACGTCGTACCACAGTTGTGGTTTGGTCCCCAGCCCTGGTCGGGGTCATGCAGGAGGCAACCAATTGATGTCTCTCACAATGATGTTTCTCTCTCTCTCTCTCTCTCTCTCTCTCACTCTCCCTGCCAACCTCCCACTTTATCTGAAGATAAATGGAAAAGTATCCTCAGGTGAAGACTTAGAAAATAAATAAATCACTCATTCCTGCCCTGGCCTGTTTTGTCAGTGGTTAGATCATCAGCCTGCAGACCACTAAACCAAAGGTTGAGGGTTTGATTCCCAGTCAAGGCACACACCTGAGTTGCAGGTTCCATCCCTGACCCCAGCTGGGATCATGCAGGAGGCAACCAATTGATGTCTCTCTCTCACATCAATGTTTCTCTCTCTCCCTCCCTCCCACTGTATCTGAAGATAAAATAGAAAAATATCCTCAGGTGAGGATTAAAACATAATAATAATAATAAAAATGAAAATTAGCCCTGGCCGGTTTGGTTCAGCGGTTAGAGCATCAGCCTGTAGTCCAGAAAGACCTGGGTTCGGTTTCCGGTAAGGGCACGTACCTTGGTTGCAGTTTGTCCCCGGCCCTGGTTGGGTCATGTGGGTGGCAACCACTCAATGTGTCCCTTTGACATCGATGTCTGTCTCTCTCTCTCTCTCTCTCTCTCTCTCTCTCTCGCTCACTCGCTCCCACTCTATCTGAACAAAATGTCGAAAAATGTCCTCGGGTAAGAATTAAAATAAATTAATAAATAATTAAAATAAAGTTTTTAAATTTAAAATTATAGTAAAAATATATCTCCACATTTTAAATACTACAATTGAAAAAATATATATGTATCGCACCCTGGCCGGTTTGGCTCAGCATTTTGGGCGTCGGCCCACAGACCAATGAGTCTCGAGTTTGTTTCCGGCCAAGGGCATGTACCCAGGTTGTGCTTCAACTCCAGCCCTGGTCAGGGTTGTGGGGGAGGAAACCAATCGATGTGTCCCTCACATCATTGTTTCTCTGTCTCTCCTTCCCTCCCACTCTGTCTGCAGATAAATAGAGAAATATTCTCAGGTCAGGATTAAAATAATTTTTTAAATATATATATATATATATATATATATATATATATATCTCCCAGGTGGGGTATATATATATATATATATATATATATCTCCCAGGTGGTGTGGCTCAGTTGCTGAGCATCGACCCATGCACCAAGGGGTTGCCAGTTCGATTCCTAGTCGGGGCACATGCCCAGGTGTGGGCCCGATCCCAAGGGGGGGACATGCAGGAGGAGGTCAATCAATGATCTCTCTCATCAGTATTTCTCTCTCCCCCCCCCCTTCCTTCCTCTCTCTCCAAAAAATCAATAAAGAAAAAAAAATACATTATATATCAAGTGTCCACCTAGGACTCGGCAGCTCCTTGTTGCCTACTCTTCCAAACCAAGCTGATTCCACATTACAGCTGGTGGGTTATTTTACGCTCACAGTGCCTTCAATTCATAAGATATCCTAACCCTATAGCTAAATCTACGTCAGAAATTGTAGAAATCAGACTCAAGAGAATTACTATGATCTTCCCAAAGATACTGCCAGTTGTCTGATATGATCACATCCACCCAAACACATCCAACATTCCTGGCAGCTGACTGTGCTTCCATTGGTTTCACTAGTAACTGGTTTCTTTGTAGCATGAGCCCACATTTTCCAGTTTATTTTTCTTTTTTGATACTGTGGAAGGTCAAACTTGAAGATGCTAGAATGTGAAACATAATTTGACTTGTGCAAAACTAGACTTTAAAAGATTAAGTAGTTAGTCCTACCTCTTCCCCTCCAAAAAAATCTTGAGACAATTATTCTAGAGTAACCTTAAAATAATCAAAGGCAGTGTTATATGATTGTCCAGGCAATAATTTTCAAGTAAAGTCAATGTAAAATGTAACCTGTGACCACACTTTTAAAGAGAATAAGCCACAAATTTAAATTCAATGATTTAAAAAAGTTTTCCACTATGGTTTCCCATTGTCTCAAGGAAACTAACAAACCTCCAACATTCAGCTAAAGTGACATCATCAGTTAAGTTGATCACTCAAAGGATGAACTCTGGCTCTCTATCCCAACCAAAAGTCCCCAGTGTAAGACCAAGTAAATGAAAATGACTTTAAAATAATACACTGCTCGTTAAAAGAAAGCAAAAATAAAGTTCTCTACAAAAACAGTACAGAAACATCCCAAATCAGTAAGGCATCTCTCTGTTGTTGAAGAACTTATAATTTGGCACAATGATAAGACAAGCACAAAACCACAAAATTCTCATTAAGTAGGAAGGAGAGGAAGGGGTAAAAGCAATTCTAAATTCTAGACCAAGAGGTCCTACTGGAGGGGGAGGGGAGAGATATATGTAATACTTTCAAAAATTAAGAGAGAAAAAAAAGCCTTGGCCAGTGTGGGTCAGTGGTTAAAGCGTTGGTCAGCCCAAGGACCAAAGGGTCTTGGGTACGATTCCCAGCCAAAGCTACGTTGCAGAAGGCAACCAATCAACGTCTCTCTCACACCTTGATGTTTCTCTCTCCTCGACCTCTCTCCACCCCTTCCATGCTCTCTAAAATCCAAGATATCCCCTTAATCATCCCTAGGGATGGTCAGCAGGCTGTAACATTTATTTCCAATACCTCAACAGAAATAAGTTTACACGATGAAAAGGTATTAGAAAATGCGAAGCTGATATTGATGGGAGTGTGCTAAAACCAGAACCCAGTAGTTTATGACTTCACTCAATAGCAAAACAGGTGAGTAGAAATCTTCCATGATTAGCACCTAAGGCTATGAAATAGCACCTCTAATTCAGACTAATCCCGTCCTGAAAACAGTCACTAACCTAGAATGAATAATTTATTCTAGGTCAATGAGAAGAGCCTGATTTTATCTGTTTTCTCCTCTTTATTGTACATTAATTTTAAGTATCTGCAACCTGTAGCAAATAATCTCCAAGAAAGTTCCCAGTTCTATTTGGGGAATAAGGTACTTTGCTTTAAATTGTTACCCCATTTCTATTTTTAGAATATTACTAGCCTCTCAGCCAAGGACCCACTTTCTAGAACACTTTATTAGCACTGTACCGTATCTGGGTTTCCTTCCAGCAGTACATTGATGGCTCTGTTGACATCTCCATTGCAGTCATGTAAAGCAATGACACATTCATCCTGGTTCTTGCCTGTGATATCAATCAACTGAAAAAGAAAAATCAGCAGTGATCATGAACAAGCTTATACTCCCCCCACAACACACACAAAAAACTAGGTGAAGAAAAAACACCAGCTGAGTTCGAAAGAACCAGGCTTAAAAAAGCAAAGCAGAATTTTGGTGTTCTAGTTCCAAAAGCAAAAAATATCTGTGACCAAAAATGGGGTAAAAAGGATTTACATACAAAGCAATCAAACAATAAAGCATCTAATAGAGAATCAAACCCAGAAACGCATAGGCTTTAGCATACCATGTATTTCCACACTTCCTAGATGCTACAACTGTTCAAAGTTGCTATAAAAGGGCATCAACAAAGTCATTCATTAAACAAGAGGTTCAAATTAAGACAAAACCTCTAAATAAGGTATCCTGTCCAAAGGAGTATGATAAATTATATAATAAAAGTACTTACTTATTGGCTTTTCATATTTCAGGTCAAAACTCTTTTAATATCTATAATAGAAAGTACCCTGTGCCTAGCCAGTGTGGCTCTGGAATTGAGCATCGACTCATGCACCAAGAGGTTTGATTCCCAATCAGAGCACATGCCGAGGTTGTGGACCAAATCCCCAGTGCAGGGCATGCAGGAGGCAGCCAACCAAAGTTCTCTTTCGTCAGTGTTTCTCTCTCTCTCCCTCTCCTTTCCCTTCTCTCTAAAAATCAATCAATAAATAAAAGAAAGTACCCTGGTAGTCCTCTACGCATTAACCCTGATGTTTTTTTCCCCGTAGCTCACAGCAAATTAGTAATACACTCACTTGTTTCACCTTTTCCTCAAAGTCAGCATCATTATGGTCTGAAATCATCTGTGCAAGTCGAATTTGTTCCGCAGTGGCCTAAGAATTCAGACAAGTTTTTTAAAAGCATGATCAATAGACAACAGTTAAAAGAAGTAAGAATGACCTATGTAGTCAATATCCACAGTACCTCCCACCTCAACTTCCTTTCCCTTGTTACAAATGACCAAGTAATAGAACACTACAGCCCTGGCCAATGTAGCTCAGTTGGTTAGAGTGTCATTCAGTGCACTAAAAGTTGGTAGGTTTGATTCCCAGTCAGGGCATGTGTGGGAGGCAGACAATCGATGATTCTCTCTTAACATCGATGTTTCTTGCTCCCTCTTCTCCCTTCTTCTCTCTAAAATAATCCCCCCAACCCCCAAAACCACTAACAGCATTTAAGATGCTTAAATCAGCACAAGGACAAAAAAACAAAGAATAAAGTTGGTACTATTTCAATCTACAATTCCTAAAAAAGCAGGAAGTTTTTCCACAAATGTTCACCATTAAAAAGGCTTTCATATTGGGATCACAGCACCATTTTGAAACATCTGCACCTTAATTCACATTAATGTATTTGCAAAGTCATGTGTAAACAAACCCTGTTCCTGTTTCTGCAACAACCAATGCCACACTCCTAATTCCTAGGACTGACATAAGGTTTAGCTGAAAAATAGACTCAGCATATCATCTAAGTATCCAGTGAATGTTTATAAAATATCAGAAAGTTCCAATTGAGATATTAAACTATTTAAGTACTAAAATCCTGCTAGAAATTCACTTGGAAGGAAAAAGCACAGAAAAATGAGTAAGAGGAAAATTCTAGTCTTGCATATTTAATTTATCTGACCATAACCAAGTGAGAAGTTAATTCATTCATATTACATACCAACCAACACCAAACTGGTTACTATAGAAAAAGATCATACCTAAATCAAACTTTAAAAAAAACGGACAAAAACCCATAAACCTCAGTACCCAGGAGGATAATTTACTCCTTAAAACAGCGATCCTCACCCTGACCAGTTTGGCTCAGCAGTTAGAGTACCAGCCTTCAGACGAAAGGGTCTTAGGTTCGATTTCTGGTCAAGGGTACATACTGTGATGCAGGTTTGATCCCCTGCCCCAGTTGGGGCCATGCAGGAGGCAACCAATCAATGTGTCTCTCTCACATAGATGTTTCGTTCTCTCCCGATTGCCCCCTCCACTCTCTCTAAAAATCAATGAAAAAATATCCTCAGGTGAGTGCATTAACAACAACAACAACAACAACCAAAAACACCTCCAGTACTCTAGGGTGTCTCATTTGTTAATTTTAAAGGAACACAGCAAAGATGTTAACTCCTCATGGAAAAGGAAATATCAAATTAGGCCTCAATGAAAGCAGAAAGGAAAATAACAGATACTTTAGAAAAAAGAACAAAGGATAGCCCAGCTGATGTAGCTCAGCAGTTAAGCATTGACCCGTGCACCAAGAGGTCGCAGGTTCGATTCCCGGTCAGGGCACATGCCCACGTTGTAGACCAAATCCCCAGTGGGGGACATGCAGGAGGTGGCCAATCAATGTTCTCTCTCATTGATGTTTCTAGCTCCTTCTCCCTTCCGCTCCCTCTAAAATCAATAAAGAGAAAAAAAGAACAAAGAATAGGTGACAGATGGGAAGACAAATGTGAGCTAGAAAGGTATCAAGGTGGATGGTCCAGAAAATAAGAAATGTACTGCTAAAACAACCTAATGAAATAAAAGAAATGCGCCCTGGCTGGTTTGGCTCGGCGGTTGGAGCATTGGCCTGCGGACCAGAGAGTCTCAGGTTCGGTTCCTGCTAGGGGCACATATCAAAAAAAGAAATAAAAGAAATGCTATCTTAGAGATACAAAGTACAAGAGCCATTCTTTACAAGCCTCATAATTCAGTAATAAAGAACAAAAAGCAAGCATTTAACATCACAGCACATTAACAGTTATCAGGTCCCAAGTAAAAAGAAGTACGGACTTGAAAATAAGAATGAAGAACCCACCCTGGCTGGTGTGGCTCAGTTGGTTGAGCATCATCCCAGGTACCAAAGGGTCACTAGTTCAACTCCCAGTCAGGTCATATGCCCAGGTTTTGGGCTTGATCCCCAGTAGGAGGCATGCAAGAAGCAGCTGATTAATGTTTCTCTCTCCCCTTCTCCCTCTTTCTAAAAATCAATAAAAACATATTTTTAAAAATCCAAAGCACAGAATGATGCTGCACTGGACAGACACCAGAATCAACCAGCAAGGCTATCCATGGATCCATAACCCTTGAGTTCTTTACCTGTGGCCGCTGCTTGTGCTGTGTCTGGTTTTGGTTTTGAGGTTGTTCCCAGTTTCCCCGGGCTCGGTTAGTGCCCACCGATGTCATCATTTACAGTATATACAAATAACAGTATTTACAAGGTAGAATACTGGAAGATTAAAAAGAAAGTTTAGATGTTAGAAGTGGTCAAAATATGTTTTCAACCTATCTTTCATCAGCACCTTCACTAAACACTTGCATTTCTTCAAAGAAACAAACCAAGAGGATTCACCTGTTCTTCAGACATATTTAGTTCAATAAATTCCTTATGGAACTCTGGATGTTAACCAGATGTTTAACTCTGGATGTTTATTTTGTATAATAATAAACGTATAAGTATGTGTTAAATAATTTTTTTAAGTTACGGGTACAGTTTGGTTATTAGCAGGTTCCATGAAGTTTTGCTATCTTGACAGTGAGCAAAACAGTATCTAAAGTCCCTTTGACACAAGGAAAAATAATCAAAGCCTGAAAATGAAAGTCTCCCAGGAAGGGAATTAGTCTACACACCACATAAAAAAAATTTTAAATACTGTTCTCAATCCACCTATGAAAAAAGCCTTACCTGCCTTACAACACTTTAACTTGAGTTGCATGTGACTGCCATCATTTGAAAAAGCACAAGCTCAAGTCTAGCCTTTCTCCCTTAAGTTTCTCTCTCTCAGCATGTTGTGGGGGCTTCCACAGCCTTCAACAAGGCATTAACCCAAGTGACTCTGCCCAGAATCTGTTCCCTGGAGAATTCCAACTCATTGCTTTTGCAGCTGATTCTGTTGGTCCCTTAAAATCCACAGTCCAAGAAACCAGAATTATAATAACCCTCCACCACTCACCTTAATATACAGAGAATCTCAAATCTGTCCCAAACCCAAATCATCTAGCACAAAGTTTTATTTGGAAGAAAGGGCTTCTGGGAGATAATTTTAAACTTGAGACATTATTGGGGGGCAAGATGATTTAGTAAACAAAGAAAACATTCATCAGATGATGGAGTGCTCAAAATAAGAGGTTATTCTGCATTGCTTTATTCCCTTCCAAGGAGTACAAGTTTATACTTTTGTGCTTATTTATTGGTTAATACTTTATACAGGGTAATTCTAGACTACTCAGAAAACACTGTTTGGATTTGAAGGAGAGGTAGAGTGGGTTCCTAAAGAAATATGCAAGGATTAACTATTTGGGAAGTAAAATTCACCTGTTTCTTGGGTCACAAAGAAAGTTTACTTTCTTATGAATAAATTCTTCACCAAGTTGAGTCAATAGGTTGCATAGGTCTTTGTTTTGTAATGTAGTCATTAAGAATTAAGAATTCTACATCCTCTATCACTAACAAAGAGTTTTAAGGGACTAATTTTTAACCATTACCTCTCCCCACACACACCTGCAGGAAAAGCCTATAAATATTTCTAGTTAGTACAGGATTACAGCAGCCCAGTTTCTCAGGCTGGCATTATAGTCAAGTTTCAACAATTTACCAAAAAACAACAACAGTGTTGTTTAATCAAGTGCCCCTGGGTTTAAATCAATCAAATCAAAGCGAAAAAATAAAATGAGAAAAACCGTTAAGCTTAATTGCCTCTAAGATGTCATTTCTAATATAGGGGTAGCCATTCCTGTAACTTACAACTATTGACTGCTTTCTACTCCACATATGATTTTAATTTGTGAGCATAATTTATTCTACAGCTATGGATTGCATGACTAGCTAGCCTACGTGTTTGAGTGTATATGCCGTAACAATCAATGTAAATATATCAAAAGTCATCTTGGAAGCCACATAATCATTCAAAAAACGGGGGAAAAAAATCCTTCGGATCACTCTTGCTATTAATTTCTATTTTTCTCTTACAAGTGCTTTGGAAAGTGTGACTAAGAAAATTTTAACTCCTAGGTAGTAACAACACTGAGCAACAGGTAAGTGATCTGGGATGGATCACTGGAGGTCACAGAATTAGTAGCCTTTTAGTAGCAAGCAGACACGTACCCAGAGTTATCACAGTGGAGGCGAGGAATCTTGTTAAATACTCTTTCTTAAAAAATAAAAATGTTTAAGGGAAATAAGTGAGAAGTATTGGAGACCAAGGGACTAATATGGGAACAAATACAGGTTTCAACATAGGCCTGCCCTTGACCATTTTTGAAAACCAGCTACTTTAAAAAATAGCCAGAGAAATTTTACAGAAAAAAATAAATAACAAGTATTTATTGAGCATCTACTGTGTCCAGTACTTTAGAAATACAAAAGCAGTATGACTTGGTTGCTGCCCTCAGGGAGCTTACAATCTAATCTGAAAAACAATTCAGAAACTCTGAGGACGGATTGGTGTCAGTAAGGTTTACTACCTCCAACAGAGCAACTAATTCCCTGAGATGCTTTGTGGTAATGACCCCTTCATCCCCTTCCCATGAACCTGAATCTAATTTTTACAAAGAATACTTCTCAGTTAGAACATATTTAATAGGGAGGGGACTTTAAAAATTAAAAAAAAAAACAAAAAACACAGTACATTTCAAGGCCTTTCATCACTAGTTTACATGCCAGAAATACTTCCTGTTCATAACAGAAATATTCACTGACATACAGTCTAATCTTTAAAGACAATACTGTAGGATCTCAAAGCAGTTTTATAAGCCCATACACAACCAAAACGTTTCGGCTCTCTATTAATGCTGGTTGTCACTGACCCTCATCACCTCCCAGCAAGTTACATCAAATATCCCCAAAGCAAGATATGGGCAGTGGGAGATGGATGGGGAGAAACCAAAAAAAAAAAAAAAAAAAAAAGGATTTCTCCATCTAATAATCAGGGACAGTCAAAGGCAAAACGATAACAACAAAACAAAACAAAAAAAAACCCGCCTATTACTGTGATGTTTTTCTTTCCACAACATCCTACCACCAGAGGTGGCTACATTTCAAGAATGGTGGAAAAAGAGCAGTCTCCTGTTTGTGACATCAGTTTGCAAAGCAAATTTAGGGACTGCCCACACGGTGAAGGGTCTGAAGAAATTTGGAATTACTGTCTCATTATGAGAAGAGTGAACAAATACCCCAGTGCTCTAGTGATGTCCCTTAGGCGTAATGCACTCAATAGGGGCCTCTATGTCCAGCTTCCCAAATAACATCGTAATTTGGGGGGATACCCCAAACTACAGTATGAACAGAAAGCTAAAGACAGCAGCAAAAAATATATTCCAAGAGCTGGGGCGGTGAGAAAAAAGGAAGGGTAATAAGAGCTGACAAAGAAGCTGGAAACGGAGAGGGGACGCAAGCCCACGCGTTAAGGATGAAAGGCTCACCCCGCTCAGCGGCGCCACATCTCCTTACCTCCCACCCGGAACAATTTAATCCCCCGCACTCCTAACTGAGGACCACATGGGGGAGTTTGGGGCAGCTCCACCCCATCGCCCTCCCTCCCCTCCGCCACCCCCAAACCAGGCCGGATCCGGATCAGAAGAGGCCCACAGAGGGTTGGAAAGGGAGGAGGCCCCCTCGTCCTCTCCACAGGCACCGGCCGGGGTAGAGAAGATCGTACCTGAGGCGGGGCCCAGGCCTCGCTCGCTCGCGCTCTTTCTCGCTCTCCCCCACCTCAGCCTCTAGCCGCATGCCCCCCCTCCGGCTGCCCCAAGCCCCGCCCCGGCCACGCTCCCAAATCGAGGCCCCGGCTCTGGTGAGGCCCACTAGGCCGCGAACCCAACCATAAACAAAACCTGCAGCGGCCGACTTCAGGGGGGGTAGCCAGGGCTCGCACGACTGCGGGGGGTGTACACTGGGGGAACACACGGTGCGGGGGGGCTACCAAGAGAGGGGAACACGGCGGGGGTAGAAGAGAAAGAAGGGAGGGTAAAAGGGGGATCGCGGATTTAAAGGGGCCGCGGACAATACCCGGCCCCGCCGCGCTGCCGCTGCCGCCGCCGCCGCCGCCAACGCCGCTGCGCTCCCAACTTTACCTCAGTCTCCTCCACACTGACACCCCCGGGCCGCGCCGCCCCTGTCACGTGATATAAGGTTCCCTCCTCCCCGCCCCCATCCGTCCTTTTCCCTCTCGCGCTCGCTCTCGCGCCTTCCCCCTCCCACTTGCCTTCCTGCGTCCCCCAGCACGTGACGCGAAAGGGACGCGCACGCAAGCGTGCGCGTGCCGACTCGCCACGAGACACCTCGCCCTCATCTCTTCCACGGCGGCCACGCCCCCCGCCACGTGACGCAGGGGTGGCCTTCGCTTCCTCTTACTGGCGTAGTTCCGCGTCTCGGCATTCGCTGCTCCCGAGTGCCATTGCGTGCCTGAGTCACGTGTTGGGGGAAGCGGGAAGGTGTCGTTCTTCTTTCCCAGCCCCCCCCCCAGTCCGCCATGTTTTCTGTCCGGGTCAGCTTTGGTCTTTTCCCGTAAGGAAATGGCCGGGGGGCTTCAGAGAACCCAGGTGCCGTTGCTTCGGAGGAGCCCGGGCTGACGAGGCAAGGCAGCGGGATAAACCGGAGCACTTCTGCGCGGGGTATAGAGGCCATGGCATCCGGCAGTAACTGGCTGTCGGGGGTGAATGTGGTGCTGGTGATGGCCTACGGAAGCCTGGTGAGGAGATTCCCCGACCCCCTTCCTGCTGTTGTGTGTGACCCAGTAGAGCCCCTCCTAGAGAGCAGTTCCCTGTCCTCATTCTCCACCCACTCACCTGCACTTTTTCTGGGTTTTGATTCCTATCCCAGGAGTACCTGGGAGCGTGTCACCGACTCGTACTGCCCCGCCCCTGGCCGAGAACCCTCCCTCTGAACCATAAGACAGACCCCCGCCTCCGCTCTGCCGGCTTCCTTTCATCCACCCTATCTCTGATGGCCTTGCTGCGCCAAGTTATACCCCCCCCACAAAGTTTCCCTGAGAGTCTGAATCTGGGGATTTGAAATGAAGGCATGCCTTTTATTTTTATTGAAGTTTCTTCTCATATCTTTTGGACAGGTGTTTGTACTGCTATTTATTTTTGTGAAGAGGCAAATCATGCGCTTTGCAATGAAATCCCGAAGGGGACCTCACGTCCCTGTGGGACACAATGCCCCCAAGGTAGGTCCTTACGGTACTAGATAGACCTAGTTTTCCAGATCTGTTAGGGCCCAGAATGAGATTTCCTTTGCCTTTAGACACGACTTTAAGTCCCCCGTTTTCTTGTCCAGTTACCCACGTGCTTATCTTAATAGATTGAGCAATAACGGTCAGCATGAGGCCTGGTTACCTGCTCAGTGCTGTGGCATAATGGTATATAGCTCACCCAGGAACTTCAGTTTTTGTATCTGCGGAATGTGTGTTCTGTTTGTTTTTATTTTGTTTTAGGATGGAATTTAGGTGGTTAAAATTAGTCCCAACTCCGTGAGAACAGTTGGCTCTGCATAACATTAGATTTATAAGGGCTCCATAAATCTAGTTCCAACATTCACATTAGAAATTGCAATCTAAGAAAATGAAGACGTTTACCCGAAAGACATTTTGGAAAGTGAATAACCAAGTGGTCTCTGTCTACATTCTTTTCTCAGGTGATTGTCTTCCTTGGCCTAGTTATTTATCTACTGATGAAATTCAATCTCTATCCCAAACCTCTTTCCTGAGTTCCATACTTGTGTATCCAACTGCCCACCTTACACTTAGATGTCTTATAGACAGGTCACACTTAACATGTCTAATTCAGAAATCTTGATAAACTACCACCATCCCCATCCTGTTGTTTCTGTCTTCCACTTCTGGGTAAAAGGCACCTGTTGCCCTTACCTCCTTTTGTATGGTTCTCCCTTGATTAGTGGAACCCAGCTATAATGGTTGAATTTCCCACTTTTACATCCTGTAACTGTAATCTAGAATGATCTGGTCTTCACTTGACTAGCTCATTTGTTCTTTAGTTCTTAGATTAAATATTATTTCTCCCAAAGAGGAGTGCTTGTTACCTATTTAAAATAGGTCCTTCTCTTTGTTTTTTGTAGTACCCTGATTTTTTTCCTACGTAGGATTTTACCACAAATTTTCTTTTATGTTTAATTTTCTATTTGTTTAATGCCTATCTCTTCCACTAACCTGGATGCTTCGAGAATACGGACACCATACCAGTTTTGTTTACCACTGTAAAGCCAAGGCCTACACATAGTAGGTACTCAACTCGTTTTAAGTGAAAAATAGGTTAATGGGAAAGCTAGAGCTACCACACTACTTTCTCAACTCCTAGACCAATGTTCTTTCATTAACCAGTGCTATTAACCTTCCCCCTCCTTGTTCTTTGCTAATATATTTCATGGAAAACCTCTAGGACAGCGGTTCTCAACCTGTGGGTTGTGACGTCGTTGGGTCGAACGACCCTTTCACAGGGGTTGCCTAAGACCATCGGAAAACACATATTTCTGATGGTCTTAGGAACCCAGACACCGCTCCTCTATCCGTCTGCAAGCGGTCCGTCCACATGCAGATACGCCCACATACAACATGAGGAACTATATTAAAGGGTAGCAGCATTAGGAAGGTTGAGAACCACTGCTCTAGGAAGATGTCTTGGCCTGAAATATCAACAGTGCTCCTTTCACATTCCTTCAGTTCAAATGCCTGTTTTCCTCCATATGAGGGATATGGTGTTGGTTTCTAGTACATCATGAGCCAATCAAAACTTTGATTATCTAGAAGCACCCTGGATTAGAAGAGATCAAGTTAGAGCTTCAGCCCACACACCGAAGAGTCATGGGTTCAATTCCTGGCCATGGGCATGTACCTGGGTAGCAGGTTTAATCCCTGGCCCTGGTTGGGGTTCGTGCAGGAGGCAACCAGTCGATGTCTCTTTCTCTCTCTGTCTTTCTCTCCCCCTCTCCCTCCCTTCCACTCTCTAAAAATCAATGGATGCCTGGCTGGTGTGGCTCAGTGGTTGGGTGTCAACCCATGCATCAAGAGGTCGCCGGTTTGATTCCCGATCAGGTTATGGGCCTGATCCCCAGTGGGGGGCATGCAGGAAGTGGTCAGTTGATGTTCTCTCTCATTGGTGTTTCTGTCTTTCCCTCTCCCTTCCTCTCACTCTAAAAATCAATAAGGAAAAAAAAATTTTTTTTTTAATCAATGGAAAAAATATCCTCAGGTGAGCATTAAAAATAACAAAAATTGGCCCTGGCCGGTTTGGCTCAGCGGTTAGAGTGTCCGCCTGCGGTCCGGAGAGACCCGGGTTCAGTTCCCGCTAAGGGCACATACCTCGGTTGCAGTTTGTCCCCGGCCCTGGTTGGTAGTGCGGGTGGCAGCCACTCGATGTGTCCCTTTCGCATCGATGTTTCCCTCTCTCTCTCTCTTCCTCTCTCTCCCTCCCACTCTGTCTGTACAAAAAGTGGAAAAATGTCCTCGGGTGAGGATAAAAAAAATAAAAATAAAAATAATAACAAAAATTGGTTAATCAGCCCTGGCCGGTTTGGCTCAGCGGTTGGAGCGTCGGCCTGCGGTCTAGAGAGACCCGGGTTCAGTTCCCGCTAGGGGCGCGTGCCTCGGTTGCAGTTTGTCCCCGGCCCTGGTTGGTCGTGCGGGTGGCAGCCACTCGATGTGTCCCTTTCGCGTCGATGTTTCTCTCTCTCCCTTTCTCTTCCTCTCTCTCCCTCCCAGTCTATCTGTACAAAGGATGGAAAAGTGTCCTCGGGTGAGGATTTAAAAAAAAAAAAAAAAAAAAATTGGTTAATCAAAATGTCTACTTGAGAATGGCTATGTAATTACATATTTGTATTCTAGAATACTGTAAAAAATGAAAGTAAACTGAAGGTAAATATATGAACACAAATG